TCACAGTCAGCTTTCCAATTAATCCCAAAGGTGTTAGATGGGGTTGAGGTCAGATTTCTGTGCAAGCCAGTCAACTTCTTCCACACCGATCTCGACAAACCATTTCTGTATGGACCTCGCTTTGTGCACGGGGCATTGTCAGGACTGAAACAGGAAAGGGCCTTCCCCAAACTGTTGCCACAAAGTAGGAAGCACAGAATTGTCTAGAATGTCATTGTATGCTGTAGCATTAAGATTTCCCTTCACTGGAACTAAAGGGGCCTAGCTGGACCATGAAAAACTGCCTCAGACCATTATTCCTCTTCCACCAAACTTTACCGTTGGTGCTATGCATTCGGGCAGGTAGCGTTCTCCTGGCACCATCCAAACGCAGATTCATCCACCAGACTGCCAGATGGTGAAGCATGATTCATCACTCCAGAGAATGCGTTTCCACTGCTCCAGAGTCCAATGGCGGCGAGCTTTACACCACTCCAGCTGAAAACTTGGCATTGCGCATGGTGATCTTAGGCTTGTGTGCGGCTGCTCGGCCATGAAACCCATTTCATGAAGCTCCTGATGAACAGTTATTGTGCTGTCGTTGCTTCCAGAGGCAGTTTGGAACTCGGTAGTGAGTGTTGCAACCGAGGACAAAAAAGTGTTACGTGCTTCAGCACTCGGCGGTCCCGTTCTGTGAGCTTGTGTGGCCTACCACTTCGTGGCTGAGCTGTTGTTGCTCCTAGACATTTCCACTTCACAGTAACAGCACTTACAGTTGACCAGGGCAGCTCTAGCAGGGCAGAAATTTGAAGAACTGACTTATTGGAAAGGTGGCATCCTATGACAGTACAACATTGAAAGTCACTGAGCTCTTCAGTACGGGCCATTCTACTGCCAATGTTTGTCTATGGAAATTGCATAGCTGTGTGCGCGATTTTATACACCTGTCAGCAACGGGTGCGGTTGAAATGGCCGAATCCACTAATTTGAAGGGGTGTCCACATACTTTTGGATTAAGTGCCTAGGGGAGTGAATAACAAATTCCCATGAACCAGTTTGGCAGCTTGCCGTCCAATCAGCATGTGCCTCGTGGCAATAAATGCAGTGTAAATACCGGTATCTGTCAGGATTGTGCGTGTAGGTTAAGATGCCTTTCTGTGTGTCTGGTGCTATTTATATGCTCTGTGTGTTGGGGGGTGGAAGTGGACCCTTGTCTGGCCCAGCTGGTGTACTGTGTCAGGCAGCTGTGGGAATGTTCTGTGGTGGAACAGAATGGAACTACCTCATCCAGGCTTAGAACAGAGGAATTACATATTGGAACTGTGGAGTTAGAACATCTTTGGTTCTGGAGTGCTGGTTCATCTGATTTCTAGAACCCTGGTGCCATATTAACTTGGTACTCTCTGTTGAACTGTCAGTTGGACTTTACTTCCAAACTCCAGATGGGTGATATCACCTGTGCCATCGCCTAGCAACAGGAGCAGTGCTGAAAGGTAGGGGCTTCATTGGTTGGTTGTTTGGTTTGATGGTGCCAGCACAGCAGTCAACATGTAATCTTTCTTAATAATAACAAGTCATAGTGTGAATATACACTACCAGTCAAAAGTTTGGACACCTACTCATTCAAGGGTTTTTCTTTATTTTGACTATTTTGTACATTGTAGAATAATAGTCGGCACTATGAAATAACACATATGGAGTCATGTAGTAACCAGAAAAAGTGTTAAACAAATCAAAATATATTTTATATTTGAGATTCTTCAAATAGCCACCATTTGCCTTGATGACAGCTTTGCACACTCTTGGCATTCTCTCAACCAGCTTCATGAGGTAGTCACCTTGAATGCATTTCAATTAACAGGTGTGCCTTCTTAAAAGTTAATTTGTGGAATTTCTTTCCTTCTTAATGTGTTTGAGCCAATCAGTTGTGTTGTGACAAGGTAGGGGGGGTATACAGAAGATAGCCCTATTTGGTAAAATACCAAGTCCATATTATGGCAAGAATCGCTCAAATAAGCAAAGAGAAACGACAGTCCATCATTACTTTAAGACATGAAGGTCAGTCAATACAGAACATTTCAAGAACTTTAAAACTTTATTCAAGTGCAGTCGCAAAAACCATCAAGCGCTATGATGAAACTGGCTCTCATGAGGACCGCCACAGGAATGGAAGACCAAGAGTTACCTCTGCTGCAGAGGATAAGTTCATTAGAATTACCAGCCTCAGAAATTGCAGCCCAAATAAATGCTTCACAGAGTTCAAGTCACAGACACATCTCAACATCAACTGTTCAGAGGGGACTGTGTGAATAAGGCCTTCATGGTTGAATTCCTGCAAAGAAACCACTACTAAAGGACACCAATAAGAAGAAGATATCTGCTTGGGCCAAGAAACACGAGCAATGGACATTAGACCGGGGAAAATGTGTCCTTTGGTCTGGAGTCCAAATTTGAGATTTTTGGTTCCAACCGCCGTGTCTTTTTGAGACGCGGTGTGGGTGAACGGATGATCTCTGCATGTGTAGTTCCCACCATAAAGCATGGAGGAGGAGGTGTTATGGTGTGGGGGTGCTTTGCTGGTGACACTGTCTGTGATTTAATTAGAATTCAAGGCACACTTAACCAGCATGGCTACCACAGCATTCTGCAGCGATACGCCATCCCATCTGGTTTGGGCTTAGTGGGACTATCATTTGTTTTTTTAACAGGACAACGACCCAACACACCTCCAGGCTGTGTAAGGGCTATTTTACCAAGAAGGAGAGTGATGGAGTGCTGCATCAGATGACCTGGCCTCCACAATCCCCCCACCTCAACCCAATTGAGATGGTTTGGGATGAGTCGGACGGCAGAGTGAAGGAAAAGCAGCCAACAAGTGCTCAGCATATGTGGGAACTCCTTCAAGACTGTTGGAAAAGCATTCCAGGTGAAGCTGGTCGAGAGAATATCTAGAGTGTGGAAAGCTGTCATCAAGGCAAAAGGTGGCTATTTTGAAGAATCTCAAATATTAAATATATTTTGATTTGTTTAACACTTTTTTGGTTACTACATGATTCCATGTGTTATTTCATAGTTTTGATATCTTCACTATTATTCTACAATGTAGAAAATAGTAAAAATAAAGAAAAACCCTTGAATGACTAGGTGTTTCCAAATTTTTGACGGGTACTGTACACTTCTGGTGCAGCGCTCTCTAGTGACTGATTCTGATAGAGCTGCTGCAGTGTGACTGTTTCACACAGGAACACACTCATTGCCAAATGTGGCAGTGCTATGCTTCATGACACATACAGTGCCTTCAGAAAGGATTCACACCCCTTTTCTTTTTTCACATTTTGTTGTGCTACAGCCTGAATTTAAAATGGATTACATTTAGATTTTGTTTCACTGGCACACAATACTCCATAATGGCACATAATACCCCATAAGGTCAAAGTGGAATTATGTTTTTAGAATTTTGGAGCATGTTGAAGTTATTAATTGCACTTTGGATGGTGTATCTATACACCCAGTCACTACAGAGATACAGGCATCCTTCCTAACTCAGTTGCCTGAGCAGAAGGAAACCGCTCAGGGATTTCACCATGAGGCTAATGGTGGACTTTTTAAAACAGTTAGTGTTTAGTGGCTGTGATAGGAGAAAACTGAGGATGGATCAACAACATTGTAGTTACTCAACAATACTAACCTAAATGACATCAACAAGGCACTAAAGTAAAACTAGGGGTTGGAACGTAAATTATTTTCCTATCGTTTTGTTCTGAACAGAACCATAATTTTTTTCTTCGTACCGTTCTACTGTTCTGACCAGCAAAATAAAGTTCTGAACCGGTTCCAAACAAAAAAAGTAATGGTTTATCATTCCTTTCTGTTTCTTTTTTACCCTCTGAAATTATATATATTTTTCATTTAACCTCGACATTAAATGACTTCACCAATGGATAGAGCAGCTTGCTATTGGGCAGGCAAGTGTAGTGTAGGGTGCGACATGCGACTGAAATGTTGCGGGTGAGGAGAGCGCTGGGCATCTTGTTGTTATGACATGCATTATCTGAATTAGGCCCACAGAATTATACCTACGGAGGAGATGCTCTATGAGGGAACTTTGGATGTCTTTGAATTTCAGAGAGTTGGTTTAACTAACGTTGGACCAGATCTAGCCCTTGATCGTGAATCTCAGTTCCATTACATTACACATAATGCTGCCTAGAGTTTGAGAGCTATACCAGAGCTAGCTAACAAGCTAGCCAGCTAACAAGCCTGTGTGTGCAGAGCGGCACCATAATTAAAATAAAAACACGTCTTAACTTTTTGTAGTTAATGAATCATATTCTCTTTGTGCGTACGTGGTTGAGAGCGAAAGAGAGAAAGTTAATGTGTTTGTGGGAAAGGGGAAGGGGTAGAGGAGAGTGTCGGTCTCGCACTATTGGTTTCACTGATTTGTTTATGATAGTTTTCATGTTCTGGCTATTTCTCTCTCGCTCTCCCCTGCTGTGGCTTTTGCTCTATTGACATTTGATTTTAGCTGTAGTGTGTGTGTGTGTGTGTGTGTACACAAACACTGTTCTGCCTCTGTGAGAAATTGCTTTATTCAAGTCAATTAGGCCTATTGATTGGGCAAAAAAACAGTATTCATTTGTAAGTTGCTTGGTAAGCAGCGAATTACAACTGTCATTTACTGTATAGCGCTGCGTTCAATATGATGCCAGCCAGTTGTCTCCCCTAGCAACCAACCAACCAGGCTTGAAGCGCGAGCCGATTTGTCTTTCCTGTGATGACATCACCGGCCCCTTAGCAGTCAACTGCTGAGAGAGGGAGAGAGCTCGGCTCACACACACACACACATCGTCACTCACGTACACACACAGTCACAAATAAGCCTACGCACACAGCCCGGTACTCTCTTCGTGGCTGCTGGAAATCATGGAGGCTGCTCCATGATAAACAGTTCGCCTAGAGACGAGTAGCTAACGCGCAGTGAGAGAGCTAACATAAGCTTAGCGTCCAACTGTCAGTCAACCATGGAGGATATCTCAGCCGAGGCCGACCCCTATCTCCCCTACGACGGGGGAGGGGTTACCATCCCCCTGCAGGAGCTGACTAAAAGAGGTATGCCACGATCCTCGCTCCTTTCCTTCTGAATGGAGGTTGGAGATTCGGTTCTGTCTGTCTGTCCATCTGGCTACAGTTAGTCATGGAGCTGGATAATAAAATGCTCCAGCTCCCAGCTGTTGTTATAAAGATTAAAATGGTGTGGCGCTTATGACTTAGGACAGACAGGAGGGCTGTAATGGTTTGTGTGTGTGTGTGGGTGACAATGTTATCTAGCTGGCTGCCATTCTTCGACCATACCCCTGCTCGTTGATGATTAACTTTGGCAGTGAGTGACCCAGTATCTGGGTTGTGTGTGTGTGTGTTATCTGCGTGGTGAATTAGCTGAGCTGGAAGAAGCAATGGCTGAGGAGGAGCAATATGTGTCACTACCTCCACCTTTATTCTCTTGATTTAGAAGAAGCTGGTGTGTGTGTCTGTGTGTGGGAACACCTCTATAACAGCTTTCAGATGTTTGTCTCAGCGTGGTGCTGATCCATTTAACATGCAACAGTGTTTAAAAAAACAACAACATTTTTCTTGTTTTTTAAATGGATATTACTAACAGCAACCGATTTTATACACATTTTGGCCAAGGGATCAGTGGAATACGTTTAGAGGGTGTAATACAATACAATGTATTGTAATATTGTTGATCTACAATTGATGTTCTTAACCCTGGGCAACATGGGCCTGGGAGGCTCACAGGGATATAGTTATCCACAGTAGGCCACCAATTATACATTATTCAACTCAATACTTCTTGTAATCCCCTTTATTATTGTTGTTATTGTTATTTATATATATATATATATATATATATAACATAAATGCACTGTCATTTTAAGATTTTAAACGGCAAAGTTTTCTCTCTGCCTAATGGCGAAATGTGTAAAATGTCAGGATATTAGCTTAAAAATTCTAGATTTTCTCTACAATGCCAAAATGTTCCTTCCTAGGGCCCGAGACTTGGTTCGTCCAGAAAATCCTATAGAAAATTGGTGGGCAGAACTGAAAAGGCGTGTGCGAGCAAGGAGGCCTACAAACCTGACTCAGTTACACCAGCTCTGTCAGGAGGAATGGGCCAAAATTCACCCAATGTATTGTGGGAAGCTTGTGGAAGGCTACCCAAAACGTTTGACCCAAGTTAAACAATTTAAAGGCAATGCTACCAAATACTAATTGAGTGTATGTAAACTTCTGACCCACTGGGAATGTGATGAAAGAAATAAAAGCTGAAATATATCATTCTCTTTACTATTATTCTGACATTTAACATTCTTAAAATAAAGTGGTGATCCTAACTGACCTAAAACCGGGAATTTTTACTAGGATTAAAAGTCAGGAATTGTGAAAAACTGAGTTTAAATGTATTTGGCTAAGGTGTATGTAAACTTCCGACTTCAACTGTATGTTGTGCTATCCTCCCTAAGGCTTTAGCCGTTCAGGGCCCCGCACTTAATAATATGTTTGCCTTAAACATAGTGCTGAGCGGTTAGTGCTTTCTGAGGTTGTTTTGGTTCGATTATGAAAATATTATCACTGTTTTTGGTTTTGATCATTTTTAAAAAACATGAAATCCACTATGCATGATGTGGGTTGAATGCTGTAACAATGCAGAATACAACAATTAATAAAAGTAAAAAACATAACAATCAATGGTAGTGACTGCCCATTACTGCTTAACCATCATTTATTCACATTACTTTAATAAAATATTTGTTTTATTTGATTTATTTCATTCCAAGTCATCTCATCTCTATAGAGCTACTGCCTGTGCTGTCAGACAACATCACTATTTTAGTAGTTCTTCAAAGTAAATAAGGCATACTTTTATGACTGCTGAATACCAACTATCAATCACTTAGATCATGTACTTTCAGATGAAAATACCTCTCAAAGTAACTGCTTTCTATCTCTATAGATTGTGCGTTCTTTCTTCTCCTTGTCTGCTCCACATCATTCTTATTATAGCTCAGTGCTCCACACAGGCCGGACAAGTATGCGGGCGCGCAATGGATTATGGTCATTGTAGTTAATTACCATGTTTTCTGCGCTAAACTATTTAGAATATTGGCCTGTTGGAAACTACAACTCCCTACTACATCGCACAGTTCAGGCTTGATCTGATTTATCTCTACAGAAACTGCATTGAGCTCACAGAAAAAACCCAGAACGAAGTGGAATTCAAATAATTTAACCAAAGTTGGTCCATTAGTTGTTTACAAAACGAAAAATAACCAAAATGTTGGTTAATCGCTCAACTTAAACATAATCTACCACGTCACTGATTAGCTCAAAAGAGAGGAAAACTACTTAACATCAGCCCTATTCCATCCACTTTCAGTTTATGGTTGAGCTCCTTAGGTTGTGTGTGTTATGGTACATCCCTATCTGTGTGTCTGAGATAATGGTTTGTGTTGGTGTAGTCCTCCTAGTCCTTGTTCGTTACTTTCCCATGCTGAATGAACAAAGACACTGGCAAAGGATTCTCTCTCTTTCATTCTCCCTCTCTCTCATTCCCTCTATTTATTTTCTCTTTAGTCTGTTATGAGGTAGGCCTTTCGGTCACATGTTTCCTTGCTAGCCAGGGTTAGTGTCAGCCTGCTGTTCTCCAGCCCCAGTCAGTCCAGCTGCTGAGCTGAGCCTCCTTGATCTGCTTTGCAGGACTGGAATAGTGCTGGAGTAGTCTGATACTGGAGTAGTGCTGGAGTAGCCTGATACTGGAGTAGTGCTGGAGTAGTCTGATACTGGAGTAGTGCTGGAGTAGCCTGATGCTGGAGTAGTGCTGGAGTAGCCTGATACTGGAGTAATGCTGGAGTAGCCTGATACTGGAGTAGTGCTGGAGTAGCCTGATACTGGAGTAGTGCTGGAGTAGTCTGATACTGGAGTAGTGCTGGAGTAGTCTGATACTGGAGTAGTGCTGGAGTAGTCTGATACTGGAGTAGTGCTGGAGTAGTCTGATACTGGAGTAGTGCTGGAGTAGTCTGATACTGGAGTAGTGCTGGAGTAGCCTGATACTGGAGTAATGCTGGAGTAGCCTGATACTGGAGTAGTGCTGGAGTAGCCTGATACTGGAGTAGTGCTGGAGTAGCCTGATACTGGAGTAGTGCTGGAATAGTCTGATACTGGAGTAGTGTTGGAGTAGCCTGATACTGGAGTAGTGCTGGAGTAGCCTGATACTGGAGTAGTGGTGGATTAGCTTGATGCTGGAGTAATGCTGGATTAGTCTGATACTGGAGTAGTGGTGGAGTAGCCTGATGCTGGAGTAATGCTGGAGTAGTCTGATACTGGAGTAGTGGTGGAGTAGTCTGATACTGGAGTAGTGCTGGAGTAGTCTGATACTGGAGTAGTGGTGGATTAGCCTGATGCTGGAGTAGTCTGATACTGGAGTAGTGGTGGATTAGCCTGATGCTGGAGTAGTGGTGGAGTAGTCTGATACTGGAGTAGTGCTGGAGTGGTCTGATACTGGAGTAGTGGTGGAATAGTCTGATACTTGAGTAGTGCTGGATTAGCCTGATGCTGGAGTAGTCTGATACTGGAGTAGTGGAGGATTAGCCTAATACTGGAGTAGTGGTGGAGTAGTCTGATACTGGAGTAGTGCTGGAGTAGTCTGATACTGGAGTAGTGGTGGATTAGCCTGATGCTGGAGTAGTCTGATACTGGAGTAGTGGTGGATTAGCCTGATACTGGAGTAGTGGTGGAGTAGTCTGATACTGGAGTAGTGCTGGAGTAGCCTGATACTTCATCTTCATGCATCTTCATGCACATATGCATCTTCATCTCTTTGTTTGGTTTTCCATCAAGAGTAGCAACTTGTTATTAGTGTCCCAAAGACCAATCCACCTCTTATCTAATTTCAAGTCCTGTCATCATCTGACTCATCACCCCCCCCTCAGGAAGGGAAGCACTGCCAGATTAAAACTATTAATGTAGTGGGCGCGCACACACACACTAGTTCCGGCTGCTCTCTTTCACTTCTATTCCTACATCAAAGGGCTTCATATAGGCCTAATACTCTAATTTCAATGGCTTGGCTTGGCCTTCTAAAATAAGGTTAGAGGTCTGAGAAATCCTTTACTAATTTCTCTACTCCTAGTGGTAGCAGGTAGTGTAGTGAAAGCACACATTTATATAAGGCCCAAGTCTCTGTTATTACTGTTATTAGATTAGTTTACTTTTTTATTTTCTCATCTTCGCCATGTCTTACTTTCCTCAATCAAATTGTATTGGTCACATACACATATTAGCAGATGTTATTGCGGTTGTAGTGAAATGCTTGTGTTCCTAGCTCCAACAGTGCAGTAGTATCTAACAATTCACAACAGTACACACATCTAAAAGTAAAAGAATGGAATATATAAATATTAGGACGAGCAATGTCGGAGTGGCATTGACTAAAATACAGTATATACATATGAAATGAGTAAAACAGTATGTAAACATTATTAAAGTGACTAGTGTTCCATTATTAAAGTGACCATCCTTCTAATGAGTGACTAATCATTCACCAGTGTTTGAACTTTGATCACATTCCCACTTCCCACAGATCAGGTGACAGGCCCAGGTTTCTAGTATTTGATGTTAGCTTAGCAGTTAGCACCTAGGGTTGATATCCTTAGTTAGCTTAGCAGTTAGCACCTTGTCTCCTAGTGTTGATATCCTTAGTTAGCTTAGCAGTTAGCACCAACTGCCTCTCCTAGGTATTGTTATAGGCTAACACTAGGCTCTACAGCTTTATAGCACTCATTGGATGTCATTGTGCCAACTGTGCCAAGCCACACAACGTTAGCCCCTGGATGACATGGTTGTACTAAACAGCCCCTGTGGCTGTATGCCACCCTAACTAACAAACCCCAGCACAATATCACACACTGCTGGGAAGTTCAGCAACTACACAGCAGTGGTGTGTCCCTGACCGCATGCCAATGGAGAATGGTTTCGAAGGCAGCAAGCCATGAATCGTCATCATAACTGAATCACATTCCCGTGGCTCAGTTGGTAGAGCATGGAGCTTGTAACGCCAGGGTTGTGGATTCGATTCCCACGTGGGACCAGTAAGAAAAAGTATGAAAAATGTATGCACTCACTACTGTAAGTCGCTCTGCATAACAGTGTCTGCTAAATGGAAAAAATAAAAATGTATTTAGCCGTAACTTGACAACAACCTGTAATTAGCTTTGCATCCATCTTCTGCAGATTTTTGGGGTTAAATCGGGTTATGTCAGTTGATGTGATGTCACAGAGGGTTTTAGGTGAATACTTTTCATTGGACATTCTACTAGGCCAGATCATCAACAGATTTGAGCTATGCCTGTATTGCTTTGCAGTGTATTTCTCTCTCTCTCAGGCAAAATCTTGCTCTGGAAAAATACACAATACACTGTACTGTATATCAGAGAGCTGAATAGAAGAATTTGCACAACAAAGAATGGGTCTAATGTCATGCATGCCTACCAGTTGTTTAAAGCACATACTTGAGGAGACAAATGTACAGACTTGTACAGTTGTCAGAAGGACATGGAAGTTGCATAACGTGAGAGATTTCCCTCTTTATTGGTAGGTGAATGTAGACCTGTCTCTGTGCCTTTTTGAAAATAATATGTAATCCCTATCATACTCAGATAATACTGTGAAACAATCCACTGAATTGGATAATGCACTTACTTTATAAAGACACATCTTTGACGACTACGTGCTGTTGTCCGGTGCTACGTCACATGAATGTGTCTTTTACTGTAGCGTTGTTTGTTTCTCTAAGATCACATCCACTGCAGAGAGATGACCTTTATCAAAATGGCGGATGGCTGAACAGCTGAGTTGTAGTGATGTGACAGATAAATAGAGAAGAGGCCTTAGCCACCTCTGCTCCATTTCCGCCTTTCTGTGGTGTGTCTGTGTGTGTGTCTGTGTGTGCCAGCCAGCCAGCCAGTAGAATCTATTTAACTGTCCTTGTTAGATGCTCTGATGCAGTGCTACTAACCAGCATAGTTGAGTATGACTGGATCTGGGATATCATGCATTAGCAATGATCATCAGGCAATGATCATTCTTGATTATCATCATGAAGGACATAATTTTGGAATATACACTACCGTTCAAAAGTTTGGGGTCACTTAGAAATGTCCTTGTTTTTGAAAGAAAAGCTTTTTTTTTTGTCCATTAAAATAACATAAAAATGATCAGAAATACAGTGTAGACATTGTTAGTGTTGTAAATGGCTATTGTAGCTGGAAACGGCTGATTTTTTTATGGAATATCTACATAGGCGTACAGAGGCCCATTATCAGCAACCATCAGTCCTGTGTTCCAATGTGTCACGATCGTCGTAAGAACCGGACCAAGGCGCAGCGTGATAGGCGTACATCTTTTAATGAGTACTTCAAATCAACAACAAAACGATTCGTGAAGTCTAAAGGTTCACCAACACAAACCTATACAGAACAAGATCCCACAAATAACTAGTGCCAACAGGCTGCCTAAGTATGGTTCCCAATCAGAGACAACGAGAATCAGCTGCCTCTGATTGGGAACCACCCTGGCCAACATAGAAAACACGAACTAGAACACAACATAGAAAATCACACATAGAAAATCCACACCCTGGCTCAACATATACAGTGGGGAAAAAAAGTATTTATTCAGCCACCAATTGTGCAAGTTCTCCCACTTAAAAAGATTAGAGAGGCCTGTCATTTTCATCATAGGTACACGTCAACTATGACAGACAAATTGAGAAAAAAAAATCCAGAAAATCACATTGTAGGATTTTTAATGAATTTATTTGCAAATTATGGTGGAAAATAAGTATTTGGTCACCTACAAACAAGCAAGATTTCTGGCTCTCACAGACCTGTAACTTCTTCTTTAAGAGGCTCCTCTGTCCTCCACTCGTTACCTGTATTAATGGCACCTGTTTGAACATGTTATCAGTATAAAAGACACCTGTCCACAACCTCAAACAGTCACACTCCAAACTCCACTATGGTCAAGACCAAAGAGCTGTCAAAGGACACCAGAAACAAAATTGTAGACCTGCACCAGGCTGGGAAGACTGAATCTGCAATAGGTAAGCAGCTTGGTTTGAAGAAATCAACTGTGGGAGCAATTATTAGGAAATGGAAGACATACAAGACCACTGATAATCTCCCTCGATCTGGGGCTCCACGCAAGATCTCACCCCGTGGGGTCAAAATGATCACAAGAACGGTGAGCAAAAATCCCAGAACCACACGGGGGGACCTAGTGAATGACCTGCAGAGAGCTGGGACCAAAGTAACAAAGCCTACCATCAGTAACACACTACTCCGCCAGGGACTCAAATCCTGCATTGCCAGACGTATCCCCCTGCTTAAGCCAGTACATGTCCAGGCCTGTCTGAAGTTTGCTAGAGTGCATTTGGATGATCCAGAAGAGGATTGGGAGAATGTCATATGGTCAGATGAAACCAAAATATAACTTTTTGGTAAAAACTCAACTCATCGTGTTTGGAGGACAAAGAATGCTGAGTTGCATCCAAAGAACACCATACCTACTGTGAAGCATGGGGGTGGAAACTTCATGCTTTGGGGCTGTTTTTCTGCAAAGGGACCAGGACGACTGATCCGTGTAAAGGAAAGAATGAATGGGGCCATGTATCGTGAGATTTTGAGTGAAAACCTCCTTCCATCAGCAAGGGCATTGAAGATGAAACGTGGCTGGGTCTTTTAGCATGACAATGATCCCAAACACACCTCCCGGGCAACGAAGGAGTGGCTTCGTAAGAAGCATTTCAAGGTCCTGGAGTGGCCTAGCCAGTCTCCAGATCTCAACCCCATAGAAAATCTTTGGAGGGAGTTGAAAGTCCGTGTTGCCCAGCGACAGCCCCAAAACATCACTGCTCTAGAGGAGATCTGCATGGAGGAATGGGCCAAAATACCAGCAACAGTGTGTGAAAACCTTGTGAAGACTTACAGAAAACGTTTGACCTGTGTCATTGCCAACAAGGGGTATATAACAAAGTATTGAGAAACTTTTGTTATTGACCAAATACTTATTTTCCACCATAATTTGCAAATAAATTCATAAAAAATCCTACAATGTGATTTTTTGGATTTTTTTTTCTCATTTTGTCTGTCATAGTTGACATGTACCTATGATGAAAATTACAGGCCTCTCTCATCTTTTTAAGTGGGAGAACTTGCACAATTGGTGGCTGACTAAATACTTTTTCCCCCCACTGTAAGAGTCCCCAGAGCCAGGGCGTGACACAATGGCACGTTGTGTTTGCTAATCCAAGTTTATCATTTTAAAAGGCTAATCATTAGAAAACTCTTTTGCAATTATGTTAGCACAGCTGAAAACTGTTGTGCTGATTAAATAAGCAATAAAACTGGCCTTCTTGAGACTAGTTGAGTATCTGGAGCATCAGCAATTGTGGGTTCGATTACAGAATCAAAATGGCCAGAAACAAATAACTTTCTTCTGAAACTCGTCAGTCTATTCTTGTTCTGAGAAATGAATGCTATTCCATGCGAGAAATTGCCAAGAAACTGAAGATCTCGTACAACGCTGTGTACTACTCCCTTCACAGAACAGCGCAAACTGGCTCTAACCAGAATAGAAAGAGGAGTGGGAGGCCCCGGTGCACAACTGAGCAAGCGGACAAATACATTAGAGTGTCTAGTTTGAGAAACAGATGCCTCACAGGTCCTCAACTGGCAGTTTCATTAAATAGTACCCGCAAAACACCAGTCTCAATGTCAACAGTGAAGAGGCGACTCCGGGTTGCTGACCTTCTAGGCAGAGTTGCAAAGAAAAAGCCATATCTCAGACTGGCCAATAAAAATAAAATATTAAGATGGGCGAAAGAACACGGACACTAGACAGAGGAAGATTGGAAAAAAATGTTATGGACAGACGAATCGAAGTTTGAGGTGTTCGGATCACAAAGAAGAACATTTGTGAGACGCAGACCAAATGAAAAGATGCTGGAGGAGTGCTTGATGCCATCTGTCAAGCATGGTGGAGGCAATGTGATGGTCTGGGGGTGCTTTGGTGGTGGTAAAGTGGGATATTTGTACAGGGTAAAAGGGATCTTGAAGAAGGAAGGCTATCACTCAATTTTGCAACGCCATGCCATACCCTGGGGACGGCGCTTGATTGGAGCCAATTTCCTCCTACAACAGGACAATGACCCACAGCACAGCTCCAAACTATGCAATAACTATTTAGGGAAGAAGCAGTCAGCTGGTATTCTGTCTATAATGGAGTGTCCAGCACAGTCACGGATCTCAACCCTATTGAGCTGTTGTGGGAGCAGCTTGACCGTAAGAAGTGCCCATCAAGCCAAGCCAATCCAACTTGTGGGAGGTGCTTCAGGAAGCATGGGGTGAAATCTCTTCAGATTACCTCAACAAATTGACAACTAGAATGCCAAAGGTCTGCAGGGCTGTAATTGCTGCAAATGGAGGGTTCTTCGACGAAAGAAAAGTTTGAAGGACATAATTATTATTTCAATTAAAAATCATTATTTCTAACCCTGTCAATGACTACATTTCCTATGCATTTTGCTATATTTTCTATTCAAACTCATTTAATGTATGTTTTCATGGAAAACAAGGACATTTCTAAGTGACCCCAAACTTTTGAACGGTAGTGTATATTTTTGGAAATGCTGTCAGTTTTTCTCCTATCATGCATCTCTGCCACATTTTAAGTGTTTGTCCACATTTTTTGTATTGGAATGCAATTTTAGAGATTGCTACGTTCTCTGTGCTTTTGCAAATATTGCTACGTTCCGTGTGCTTTTTGATCACGCTAGAAGGGTGACCAAAGTTGAGTGTTCAAATCCCTAATGGTGAACGGAACATCCATTGAACATTCATTGAAAGTGCACCGTTGGTGGTAGGCTATACTGTGTTAAACTGTAAGTGTTGTGTAGCCTACTGCAGTTTCACCAACTGGTGTCTGTCTGTCTGATATATGCCTGAGGCCTACATCCTGTAATAAGACAAACAGACCTAGACCGAGAAGAATGGCAGACTGGTGAACTGCAGTCAGTGTTGTAAACCTTGGCCAGTGTTCACTTTACAGTCACACTTTACTACTGTGCCTCTGTTTCCCCTGCCACATGTTTACTACAACACAGCCTGTTTTGTACACAGAGGCATGTGACTGTAGAAAGGCCCTTGTGGCAATTTTTAGGGGGAACTGTTATCAGAGATTGTGAAATGAGTTTTGAGGAAGAAAACCTCACATACTTGTAAGTAAACATTCTTCTTTCAACCAGAATGGCCCTTTTGAAGGAAGTCTTTAGATTGTGAATGAACCACTGTTCTGAGACTAACCTCCATGACCAGTGATTAGTTAAAAGGAAACATAGAGCCCTGGCTCAATCTGCCATTGAAAGTCTGCAACTGCACCTCCATTTTGGCTCTGAGCACTGTGGTGAGGGGGTAAAGGGAGTAAAGCTGATTTATTACGGGGCTGTGTGTGGTTGAGATTCAGCAGGCAGCCAACGGATGGATTGATGGATGGACGTTTTCCCCAATGTGCCACAAGTACCAGTCGGTCGGACAAACTCATTCATTTCCATATGCCAGCAGGCAGCATGTGCAGTGCAATGCAGTGTTCCTAATGGAGCAGATAATGGAGTAGATTGTCCCTCCTGGTACGGGCAGGCTTCGGCGTTCGTCGTCACCGGAGTACTAGCTACTGCCGATCCCATTCTTATCACTCCACTTGTCATGTCTTGTCAATCACACACACCTGGTGCTCATTCCCCTAATTAGTATGTGTATAAGTGTTCCCTCTGTTCCCCTTGTCTTTGTGAGTGATTGTTTGTTGTGAGAGCGTGTAGCTCGGTTGAGGCTACTTATTCACGGTGTGTATGCCAAAGGTGGATGTTTTCCCTTGTAATAGTTTTGTTGACGCTTGGGGTGTTGTTGTAAACGGAATAACTTGGACTCGGTGTTGGACTTTTCACACCTCGTCAAAAGGTACTGCTTCCAGTTGAACAAATGTAAAAAAGTGCAACTGGATTGGTGTAATTGTTTTAAGGGTGATATCTCTGTGGAAGAAAGAGAAACTACCTTCACTGTAGTTTGCCTCGATCTAGGGTTTATGTACGTGCACCGTCCGTCCGGGTGGAGGAATCATAGATGGATTGTTACCAAGAGTGGGAGGTGTCTGGTTTATTCATAGCAGCATTTGTCCCATCCAGACTTCTAGCACGCTGTCAAGGAACTAGTATGCCATTGTCTGGTCTCTCACAAACTCTCTCTCTCTCACCTGTAGGATCTAACTACGTCATGTCTAACGGGGGCGGGGTGATGAGCGGCACCACCCACCTGCTGGACTTCCTGGAGGAGCCCATCCCGGGGGTCGGCACCTACGATGACTTCCACACCATCGACTGGGTCCGGGAGAAGTGCAAGGACCGCGAACGCCACCGCAAGGTGAGGACGCGTTTACATTTTACATTTAGAAACTAATTTAAGAAAATAATAGATGCACACTAGATAGATAGTTAGATTTGAGTAATTTAACAGACTTACAATCAGTGTATTTGGCTAGGGTAGGTAAAATAACCACAAGGGTGTCCCCCAGGGCTATGTGCTGGGCCCCTTACTCTTCATAATCTAGATTCTACATCCTACTCACAACACAGCAGTAACTTCTAACCCTCTTATCACGCTTTTGTGCTGTACAGTGTAATTTTGTGTCTGAACAGATGTCTTATGTGCAGTTGTTGTCTTGTGGTAGTGGGATGAGTGGGGGGAGAGGGAACTATTCTCCACAGTGTCTGCCACAGGTCAGGGCTCATGTTTGTTGTTGTGTTGTGAAAGAAATTGTGCCCTAGCCTAGACAGAAGTGTTCCCTGCTTCCTGTTCTCTGTGGTGGCTCAGTGTACATGTACAAGCCTTTTGTCTCGGTACCATTTATTTTATAACACCTAGTCTTTCTCTACTAGGCTTGGGCGGTATCTAGATTGTCACACCTTCTTCATACCGACCTTGTGCCATACCGGGATATTCAGTAATACCGCACTGAACACCAGGGGCGCTATTGTAATCCAAAGGTTAGCAATGCTAACAAGTACATGTAATATCCCATACTGAATGCTAACGAGCACATTGCAAAGATTTTATACAGTTTCTGACCTAAAGTATTTGCAGGACAAACATCCCAGCTCATAAAGTTATACAAGTAACTCAAAAAATGCTACTCACAGTTTGCTGCACCCACAAAGCAAATATTAGACAGCAAGGCTCTTGATCCAGGAGGGGATTCTCCACTGTTACCAAAAAACAGTTCAGCGAAACTTGATTTTGGAAGAAGCTAACCACCTAGCTAGCAAACCAAATGCACAACTGAAGAGCATTTAGCACATTTTAGACAGTCAACTTAATAGTTATAAGATATCTAGCTGGCAAACATTTAGTTGTGAATTCCATACTGTAACTAGATCACCTTGCTGCACAACGGTGAGTGACTCACAAGGCTCCGGTCTCTCGTCATTGTGTGCTTGTAAACAAACACCACGTGACTGAGGACTACCGGTAAGCTTCATAATGAAAAATTGTGACAGGTGAAATGAAGAACGCAATCTTCTTTATCTCCTAATGTATTGCACAAGTTGACTGCAGGTATTTACTTAAAAAGAAAGAAAACTTCAAAATAAATAGTTTCAACGGTATTGAAAAACCATCCCGTGGCTATTTCCAAATACCCCGGTATACGGTATACCGCCCAAGGCTCTACAGTGTCTGCCAGGTGTCATGTCTGTTGTTGTAGTTGGCATGTTGTTGTGGAGGTGGCATGAAAGAAATGGTGCCCTAGACAACAGTGTTCCATCCTCTGCTCTCGGTGGTGGCTCTGTGTGCATGACTTATGAACACCACGAGGAAAACCTTTTTGTCTTTTGTGATATGAATCTGGGTTACATGGTTTCCTAAAGGTTCCAGACACTCCCACATTTGAATGTCATTTGAATGTTGTCTGGATTTTTAGATTTTTTTTATCACCTAACAAACAGGAACATGTAACAGTTGCTCTCAATTTGACAAACTGCAGTAGCAGCAGTTCATGGGGTGGTTAGGCCACTCATTATGAGTGGTAATAAAATGATATGATCATATTTATATAATCGTTTCTCTAAAAAGGGGGAGAACAGTACATTGTTTAGTACTTTTAACTAGCCGTGACTTTCAGTATTTATGTTAATTGTTTGTGTGTGTGTGTGTGTGTGTGTGTGTGTGTGTGTGTGTGTGTGTGTGTGTACAGATCAACGCTAAGAAGAAAGATTCTGCGTGGGAGTTCACCAAGAGCCTGTATGATGCCTGGTCTGGATGGCTGGTGGTGACGTTGACAGGACTGGCCTCAGGTAATACACGCACAGTCACCTGAGCTCACCTGTACTAGTCGTCAGAGTATGTAGGCTCGTCATTGACAACGTGTTTGTTGTTCATCTTTGTTTTTGATTAGTCACACTGGCACAGGCTTAAAGTATTGTTTCCTCCTCGTCCTCTTCCTCTTTGTCCAATCAGGTGCCTTGGCGGGTCTGATCGACATCGCTGCTGATTGGCTGAACGACATCAAGGAGGGGGTGTGTCTGAATGCCATGTGGTTCAACCACGAGCAGTGTTGCTGGGGCTCCAACGAGACCACGTTCGCTGAGAGGGACAAGTGTCCTCAGTGGAAAAGCTGGGCGGGGCTTATCCTGGGCCAGGAAGAGGTGAGAGGGATTTAAAAATGTCATGTCAAAATGTAGATTTCCAACCTAACCAGACATCATTTTTTATCGTGAAAAGGCCATAAACAATACCTAGTAATGATTATACTGCCAGAAAGATTAAAGTCTCTGGTATAAATAGTTATAAATTGCTGAGGCGTAGTCACTTTTGAGGATACCGCCAGGGGAGTTCGATCCTTTGTCTGGATAGGCCAGAAAATCTAGCGCTCCCTATGCAAATGAGGTGTCACATTTCACATACTGCATCTCAGACGAGAGCGGAGAACGGCATGCGAAGCACAACAAATGATGTTGCTACGTTCACAGAGCGCTTTGTAAAAAAAAATTGGTTCGGAACTGGTCCAGAACCGCTCAGTCCCGTAAATAGGGGACTTAACGTTTAAGAGGTTTTAAGTCACATATGTGTTACAGGTGTTATAAGGTGTTATAAGCTAGTAGTTTCCATTGCTGAGATGGAAGAGCTTGGGTGAGCTAATACTTCTGTGGTCCATCAGTAGTTCACCACTTTTTTCCATGACCTTTTCACTCAGAATAGTCAAAACTGTCTCAATGTAGTAACGTTAAAAGGATTGTTGGGATTTTGATGCTAACTGTACCCAAAACCTTTCCCTTTTTGTGCTAAGCTAGTTAGCATTTGCTTACGAAACGACCTTTAACTTCCTTCATGCTGGATGCAGATAGATAAAAAAAATTGTATCCATGAGTTCATCTGACTCTGGGGAAGTAGATAATTGCCAAAATCCTGAACTATCCCTTTAATGGCAGTTTGTGTGTAAACATGCTCCTCCTCCTCTCCCTCTCTCCTCCTCTTCCTCCTCCTCTTTCTCTCTTCCTCTTCCTCCTCCTCCGCCTCGCCATTCGTCCTCCTCCGGCGATCTCTTCCTCCGCCTCGTTCCCCTCCTCTCTCCTATTCCTCCTCCTCCTCTCTCTCCTCCTCTTCCTCCTCTCTCTCCTCTTCCTCCTCCTCTCTCCTCCTCCTCCTCCTCCTCTCTCTCCTCCTCCTCCTCCTATCTCTCCTCCTCTTCTCCCAGGGTCCTGGTTCCTACATCATGAACTACTTCATGTACATCTACTGGGCTTTGTCCTTTGCCTTGCTGGCTGTGTTACTGGTCAAGGTGTTCGCCCCCTACGCCTGTGGCTCAGGCATACCTGAGGTAAGACCACACACATGCATGGATGCAAGCGCACACACACACAAACTATGTATTGTAATTCAGGTGGGATCTGTACCTGCTGTTTAGGAAAAATCCATTTTGAGGTGAGGTTGTCTGCTCTAGTCTAGCACTAGAAATCTCAATTTGTAGTTGCCGTGGCAACAGGAGAACGAGCGAGATGGGGCTGAGCACTGGGGACCAGTTTGAGTTTTTATTTCTTCGAAATTCTTTACCTTATTTCCCCCATCTCTCTGTCTCCCAGATAAAGACCATCCTGAGTGGGTTCATCATCCGGGGTTACCTGGGGAAGTGGACCCTGCTGATCAAGACGGTGACCCTGGTGCTGGCTGTAGCGTCTGGGCTGAGCCTGGGGAAAGAGGGACCCCTGGTCCACGTGGCCTGCTGCTGTGGAAACATCTTCTCATACCTCTTCCCCAAGTACAGCAAGAACGAGGCCAAGAAGAGAGAGGTATGTATGATCTATGATCTACTGTTCTATTAGGTGTGGTCAAATACAATACAGTGGGGAAAAAAAGTATTTAGTCAGCCACCAATTGTGCAAGTTCTCCCACTTAAAAAGATGAGAGAGGCCTGTAATTTTCATCATAGGTACACGTCAACTATGACAGACAAATTGAGGAAAAAAAATCCAGAAAATCACATTGTATGATTTTTTATGAATTTATTTGCAAATTATGGTGGAAAATAAGTATTTGGTCACCTACAAACAAGCAAGATTTATGGCTCTCACAGACCTGTAACTTCTTCTTTAAGAGGCTCCTCTGTCCTCCACTCGTTACCTGTATTTATGGCACCTGTTTGAACTTGTTATCAGTATAAAAGACACCTGTCCACAACCTCAAACAGTCACACTCCAAACTCCACTATGGCCAAGACCAAAGAGCTGTCAAAGGACACCAGAAACAAAATTGTAGACCTGCACCAGGCTGGGAAGACTGAATCTGCAATAGTTAAGCAGCTTGGTTTGAAGAAATCAACTGTGGGAGCAATTATTAGGAAATGGAAGACATACAAGACCTCTGATAATCTCCCTCGATCTGGGGCTCCACGCAAGATCTCACCCCGTGGGGTCAAAATGATCACAAGAACGGCGAGCAAAAATCCCAGAACCACACGGGGGGACCTAGTGAATGACCTGCAGAGAGCTGGGACCAAAGTAACAAAGCCTACCATCAGTAACACACTACGCCACCAGGGACTCAAATCCTGCAGTGCAGACGTGTCCCCCTGCTTAAGCCAGTACATGTCCAGGCCCATCTGAAGTTTGCTAGAGTGCATTTGGATGATCCAGAAGATGATTGGGAGAATGTCATATGAAACCAAAATATAACTTTTTGGTAAAAACTCAACTCGTCGTGTTTGGAGGACAAAGAATGCTGAGTTGCATCCAAATAACACCATACCTACTGTGAAGCATGGGGGTGGAAACATAATGCTTTGGGGCTGTTTTTCTGCAAAGGGACCAGGACGACTGATCCGTGTAAAGGAAAGAATGAATGGGGCCATGTATCGTGAGATTTTGAGTGAAAACCTCCTTCCATCAGCAAGGGCATTGAAGATGAAACGTGACTGGGTCTTTCAGCATGACAATGATCCCAAACACACCGCCCGGGCAATGAAGGAGTGGCTTCATAAGAAGCATTTCAAGGCCCTGGAGTGGCCTAGCCAGTCTCCAGATCTCAACCCCATAGAACATTTTTGGAGGGAGTTGAAAGTCCGTGTTGCCCAGCGACAGCCCCAAAATATCACTGCTCTAGAGGAGATCTGCATGGAGGAATGGGCCAAAATACCAGCAACAGTGTGTGAAAACCTTGTGAAGACTTACAGAAAACGTTTGACCTGTGTCATTGCCAACAAATGGTATATAACAAAAGTATTGAGAAACTTTTGTTATTGACCAAATACTTATTTTCCACCATAATTTGCAAATAAATTCATTAAAAATCCTACAATGTGATTTTCTGGATTTTTTTTTTCTCATTTTGTCTGTCATAGTTGACATGTACCTATGATGAAAATTACAGGCCTCTCTCATCTTTTTAAGTGGGAGAACTTGCACAATTGGTGGCTGACTAAATACTTTTTTTCCCCACTGTATAACTTTATTGTCCAAGTACAGCAGGAATGAGGCCAAGAAGAGGGAGTGTATGGTTTGGTGTATGTATCCATTGTATTACATTACAACGTTTAGAGTTTTGTTATAAGACATTCTCCTGATGACCTTTTCTGTTGCATGATTTAAGACTGTGCTTTGGGTAAATTGCTGTCAGTGTTTCAGCTGACTCGGCCTGTGTTTTGGGTAAATTGCTGTCAGTGTTTCAGCTGACTTGGCCTGTGTTTTGGGTAAATTGCTGTCAGTGTTTCAGCTGACTCTGCCTGTGTTTTGGGTAAATTGCTGTCAGTGTTTCAGCTGACTCGGCCTGTGTTTTGGGTATATTCCTGTCAGTGTTTCAGCTGACTCTGCCTGTGTTTTGGGTAAATTCCTGTCAGTGTTTCAGCTGACTCTGCCTGTGTTTTGGGTAAATTGCTGTCAGTGTTTCAGCTGACTCGGCCTGTGTTTTGGGTATATTCCTGTCAGTGTTTCAGCTGACTCTGCCTGTGTTTTGGGTAAATTGCTGTCAGTGTTTCAGCTGACTCGGCCTGTGTTTTGGGTATATTCCTGTCAGTGTTTCAGCTGACTCTGCCTGTGTTTTGGGTAAATTCCTGTCAGTGTTTCAGCTGACTCTGCCTGTGTTTTGGGTATATTCCTGTCAGTGTTTCAGCTGACTCTGCCTGTGTTTTGGGTAAATTGCTGTCAGTGTTTCAGCTGACTCGGCCTGGGTTTTGGGTAAATTCCTGTCATTGTTTCAGCTGACTCTGCCTGTGTTTTGGGTAAATTGCTGTCAGTGTTTCAGCTGACTTGGCCTGTGTTTTGGGTATATTCCTGTCAGTGTTTCAGCTGACTCTGCCTGTGTTTTGGGTAAATTCCTGTCATTGTTTCAGCTGACTCTGCCTGTGTTTTGGGTAAATTGCTGTCAGTGTTTCAGCTGACTGCCTGTGTTTTGGGTAAATTCCTGTCAGTGTTTCAGCTGACTTGGCCTGTGTTTTTGTATTAGTCTTTTTTATATGTTTTCTCTGCAGGTCCTATCTGCAGCGTCAGCGGCTGGGGTGTCTGTGGCTTTTGGTGCTCCCATAGGAGGAGTACTCTTCAGCTTGGAGGAGGTACGTTGTATGTATGTGTGTGTGTTTGTTTCTATGAGTGTGTCCGTATAAATAAACACATCACACACACACACTATAGCCTTGTTTCCTTGCACCCCTACCGTGCTTCTACATCTGCATTGCTTGCTCTCTGGGGTTTTAGGCTGGGTTTCTGTATAAGCACTTTGTGACAAATGTAAAAAGGGCTTAATAATTACATTTGATTGATTGATCTGTGCATGTGTGTCTCTGTATGAGTTAATGCATCACACTATACTTTTCTCTTCACCTGTCTCTCTGCATCTCTCTCTCCCTAGGTGAGCTACTACTTCCCTCTGAAGACCCTGTGGAGGTCCTTCTTCGCTGCGTTGGTGGCAGCCTTCGTCCTCCGCTCCATCAACCCGTTTGGCAACAGCCGTCTGGTCCTGTTCTACGTGGAGTACCACACCCCCTGGTACCTGTTTGAGCTTATCCCCTTCATCCTGCTGGGGGTGTTTGGGGGTCTCTGGGGGGCCTTCTTCATCAAGGCCAACATCGCCTGGTGTCGGAGGAGGAAGTCTACCCGCTTTGGGAAATACCCCGTCCTGGAGGTCATCTTCGTGGCAGCCATTACCGCCGTGGTGGCGTTCCCCAACCCGTACACGCGGCAGAACACCAGCGAGCTAATTAAGGAGTTGTTCACTGACTGCGGGCCGCTGGAGTCGTCCCAGCTTTGCCAGTACAGGAGCCATATGAATGGGAGTAAGGCGTTTGTGGATGCGTCACCTAACAAGCCGGCGGGATCCGGGGTGTACACCGCCATATGGCAGCTGTGCCTGGCACTCGTCTTCAAGATCATCATGACGATATTCACCTTCGGACTCAAGGTGAGGCAGGGCAGGTTGGGTACTGTCGTCTAGTTAATGTAGCCCGGCAGTTAAAGGGGAGGTTCATCCAAAAACACTTCTGGGCCCCTTTATAACTACTATTGCCTGGTTATTTGTCAGTACCCCAAACAGCTTTTAGGTCCATTGCTTGAGAATTTAGACGTAGGTAATAAGCTGATTCTACCCCCGCCTTCCCCATAGAAACCCCATGCAACGTCAAAGTCCATCATAAATACCTCCTAAAGCCTCCCGAGTGGCACAGCGGTCTAAGGCACTGCAGTGCTTGAGGCGTCACTAGAGATCCGGGTTTGATACCGGGCTGTGTCGCAGCCGGCCGCGACCGGTCGCCAGTTGTACGGTGTATCCCCCGACACATTGGTGTGGCTGGCTTCCGGGTTAAGGGGGCACTGTGTCAAGAAGCAGCGCGACTTGGCAGGGTCGTGTTTCGGAGGATGCATGGCTCTCGACCTTGGGGATAAAAAGTACAAAATAAATAAATAAAAATACCTCCTAAACACACTGCTCTGGCCTCCCAATAGTCCTTGTAATTACTTTCTCTGCACAATTTTTCAGCTAACTTATTTCAGTAGGTACATTTTTACCAATAAATGTAATTTCGAGAAATTCAGCATTTTGATTTAAAAATACAGAAATCTAAATACTCAAACAATGGACCTAAAAACAGTCTGGGGTACTGATAAACAGCCAGGCAAGTGTTATAAAGGGCCCAGAAGTGTTTTTGGGTGAACTTCCCCTTTAATGTGATTGTATTGGGTATGCATGTCTCTTAGATTGTGGTCTATTCCAAATCTTAGATTGCAGTCTAGACTTTAAGTAATGCTGATCAGGGTTAGAATTGAGAAATATTGAGAAAAATCAGAATTAGAATTTCAGTTAAGGAATGTTTTTTGTGGTTCTAAGTTGTGGTTCCTGTCCCCAGGTTCCGGCGGGCCTGTTCATCCCCAGTATGGCCATCGGGGCGATCGCCGGGCGGATTGTTGGCATCGCCGTGGAGCAGCTGGCGTACTACCACCACGACTGGTTAGTGTTCAGGGAGTGGTGCGAGGTAGGCACCGACTGCATCACCCCAGGACTCTACGCCATGGTGGGGGCTGCCGCATGTCTGGGTGAGTTACACTGACTGGCTGTGGGTCTGTAATGTTATGGTCATGTCTGTTACTCCTACTCAGTGTTCGTTCCTCATTCTTGTGATACATTGTTATATAGACTGTGTTTGACAATGGATCACAGAAACACGGAGCTGTGTAAAATGTTATCTATCCTGTTGGATGGCTTTGGTCCTCTCCCATTCAACTCTTCCTCTTGTCTGCAGGTTCTCACTTCTCAGTCAACTTACTTGGTAAAATAAAAGGGCAATCATTTATTTATTTATTTATTTTTGTTCCAGGTGGTGTGACGAGGATGACCGTGTCTCTCGTGGTCATTGTGTTTGAGCTGACTGGCGGTCTGGAATACATTGTACCCCTCATGGCGGCCGTCATGACCAGCAAGTGGGTGGGCGACGCCTTTGGGCGCGAGGGCATCTACGAGTCACACATCCGCCTCAACGGGTATCCTTTCCTGGACGCCAAGTCGGAGTTCACACATACCACGCTGGCGCGGGAGGTGTGTCAAAATCAAATGTTATTTGTCACGTACACAGTTTACAGCATGTATAAAAGGTGCAGTGAAATGCTTGCATGCTAGCTCCATCAACATATAATCAATATCAATAAGTGTGTAGAGTGTGTGTGTGTGTGTGTGTGTGTGTGTGTGTGTGTGTGTGTTAGGAACAAATATTTATTATGGACAGATACAATTAAAACATTGGCACACTGAATCATTAACAGTTAGATGCAGCACCATTGATATCAATGCATGATTAAGTGGAAAGTTGACTTAAAGCGTCAGTTAGGTTTCAGCTCTAAACCACTTCCTGTGTGACTTCAGGTGATGCGGCCGCGGCGTAGTGATCCGCCGTTAGCGGTGCTGACGCAGGACGACCTGACGGTGGAGGAACTCCAGGGGATCATCAACGAGACCAGCTACAACGGCTTCCCTGTCATTGTCTCCAAGGAGTCTCAGAGACTCGTGGGCTTCGCCCTGCGCAGGGACATTACCATCGCTATAGGTGAGGAGAAACTGAGACGGCAGGGTGTGGAGGGCGCTCAGACCTGGGTTAAAACTTCAATGGTGTTTTTTTTTTTTATACTTTAGCTGCACTTGATTTAGCTTGCTTGGCTAGCGCGATGGAACCAATGGAATCATCTCAAAAGTGCAAACCTCGCCCGTATGGCACTCCTTAGACGCTAATCTTTCTCCTTCCATCTCCCCCTCTCTTCCCTTTTTACATCCCCCTTTCACAGATAATGCGCGGCGAAAGCAGGAGGGTATCCTGCTGACCTCGCGGGTCTACTTCACACAGCACGCCCCCACCCTGCCCGCCGACAGCCCGCGGCCCCTCAAGCTGCGCTCCATCCTGGACATGAGCCCCTTCACCGTCACCGACCACACGCCCATGGAGATCGTGGTGGACATCTTCCGCAAGATGGGCCTCCGCCAGTGTCTGGTGACGCACAACGGGTGAGAGGAAGGGGCTGGGGGGAGAGCGGGAAAAGGGTAGGGTGGCATGTGAAGAGGGTAGGGGGGAGGTGAGGAGGGGAGAGGGGGTGATTAAAAGTGATCTTGGATGAGAACGATGGGGAGAGAATCACAGTCTCAAAATGGGGGGATGTGTTTTGGAAGGGTGGGGGTGAAAGAAGAGGAGGATGGAGGAAGAGAAGGAAGGAACACTGGGGGGAAAGAGTCTTCCTCAGTCCTCCTAACCTCAGGCCTCAATGTTCTCAGCTTAAACTAACAAACACCTCAACAGGCAACAGACAGAGTTCCCCTAACAAACCCAACACACACTCTCAAGTTTTGTTCCAATGAACACACTACTACTTAGAATGAAGCAGTGTATTGGACATCATCTATTCTAAGTGCTATGCTAGTGTGGATATTGGGACATAGTAGCATCTCCTCACACCCTAACGAAAAAAGATTGCAGGTAGAGTGAAGTATTGCGGTTTATGCTGCAAAAACTGCGTCCAAATGTTTTTTTTTTTACTGCAGTAATTTTGCAGTGTGATGGCAGTGATTTTGCAATTACTCCATCCAAAATACCACAGTCGACTGCAGTTACTTCCCTTTTACTGCAGTTCCAAAACTGCAATCTTTTTTTTGTAAGGGATAGAGTGATGCATGGACACTGGGACTGGAAACCCTGGGGTTATAAGCCATTATAACCTTGTAGGCTGCATGACTTCTCAGCTAAATGCTAGCTGCGCTACGCTCACCAATATAACTACTGTGATACCGCTTTAGCAAATAGTTGGATAGTTTGATCGTTTTATCCAGTTTCCTCTGGATAAAATATTTGAGAGACTCGTGATGTGTTTAGAAGTTGGTTTAGAAGTCAATTACTGTGGATGAGCTCACTGGTAGAATATGACACTTCAGAGACACCTGGTGGTTAAAACAGGAATTAAAGGACAGATGGTGTATAATTGGATAAACCCTTGCTCTGTGGGTTGTAACTAAGTAAAAATACTTTAAAGTACTACTTAAGTAGTTTTTTGGGGTATCTGTACTTTATACTATTTATATTTTGGATAACTTTTACTTTTACTCCACTAAATTCCTAAAGACAGGGTTCGTATGGTCATGAAAATCCTGAAAAAGTCATGGAATTTTTAAAATTGTGTTTTCGAGGCCTCAATGTTTTGGAAAATGATCAAATCCGAAAAGTCATGGAAATGAATGTAATCATTTCTGTTAATGTCAGTTGTTTAGGCACAGTTTTTAAATATTTTATCAATCAAATAAAAATCAACAGTGATTTTACCCACGCACCGCTACTGCTTGCGAGGAAGGCCATACAAAGTTGATTCATTTAAACGATACATACAGAGTTGATTCATTCATTTAAACAATTATTTTTGACGGAACAAACAATTCACTTTGCTATTGTATTAGTTGGGATTTGGTTCAATGCGATGAATCGAATGTAAATCAAAATAATAATTTGTGAATCGCAAACAGTCATTTTATAAAAAAAATATTATATGTAGCCTTCCTTGTGGGCTTGCTTCAGCTGAATAAAAATATTTGTAGCCTACCATAGCCATTTGATATTTTATATATTAAATGAGTGAATTATTTCAAAAGGCATAAAACGTATTTGGTTGCAATGTTATACATCAAGGGTGGACAACCATCCTCCAGGAGAGCTAATGGTGTGCAGGCTTTTATTCCAGTCCCCCTCTAACAAACCACATTTTAGAAATGAGCTGCTCAACCGGACCTTGATAAACTTTCTCTGATGTGTTTGAGCAGGGCTTGATCAAAAGCCTGCACAGCCAGTAGCTCTCCAGACTGAGGGTTGACCACGTGTGTTTTATACCGTTGCCTAACAGGGATTCTACTTTGTGCCTTGTACAATGACAGTAGATGGTACATAGGATCAGAGAGCAGCCTCCCAGTGTCAATACCACATTACGCATACTTTGTTTCTACATACATGGAGATGCCGCTAACGGTGGTCATGGAAATTTGGTTAAAAGTCATGGAGAAGTCATGCAAAAGTCATGAAATTCCCTCTGTCAAAATGTGTATGAACCCTGTAAATAGAATATGTATACTTTTTACTCCCATTCATTTTCCGTGACACCCAAAAGTACTCGTTACATTTCGAATGCTCAGGCAGCATTCGAAATATGGTCCAATTCTCACACCTATCAATATAACGCGTTGTCATCCCTACTGCCTCTGATCTGGCGGACTCACTAAACACAAATATTGCGTTTGTAAATTATGAGTTTTGGAGTGTTCCCCTGGCTGGCCGCAAAATTATTATTATTATCTTTTAAATCATGCTATCTGGTTTGCTTAATGTAAGGAATTTGATGTATAGCATTTACTTTTACTCAAGTATGACAATTTAGTACTTTTTCCACCACTGCTCGGCAGTCATAGTGTAAATATATGTTTAAAGATGCCTGTTTAGACGCCTAGTCAGGAGAGGAGAGCACTGAGAGCGAATGAGAATACAGATTGGCAGCAGTCCTTTGTTTTGATACATGTTCATTTTTTATCGTTTTGTTGTGATTTTATCCTTTTCTATTGTTTTGGTCTCAATTCATTCATCATTCAATATCAATACATAGAATAGTGAAAGCATCAGACATAGAGTACCAGTGAAAAGTTTGGACACACCTACTCTTTCAAGGGTTTTTCTTTATTTTTACTATTTTCTACATTGTAGAATAATAGTGAAGACATCCAAACTATGAAATAACACATGGAATCAGAAAAGTGTTAAACAAATCAAAATATATTTTAGATTCTTCAAAGTAGCCACCCTTTGCCTTGATGACAGCTTTGCACACTACTTTATCGAATTCTAGGTTATTTGCCTACAACACTTGAGTCCATACTACTCACAAGATTAGATTCCATTACAAATCAACAAGGAAGTTATTGAAACCGACACAAAGATGAATGATATGCACAGATAACATTAGTTGGCATCCAACTGACATGCACTTATACACACTCACCATCAGTAGAAGTGGTATATTTATGGACAAGTAAAATATGTTGTTAATTGAGCTTTTAAAAAAAAAAGCAATACTATTAAAATGTTAGGTAGGTTGTGTTATGATTTTTCACTTTATGTTATGTCATATTAAGTTGGTTATATACGTTTATTTTTTTAGTGTACTATGCTTTGTGCTGCTGTCTCTCTCTCTCTCTCTCTGTGTGGTGTGTGTGTGACGGGCAGTCTCCTGAGTAACAGGTGTGTGTTTGTACAGGATTGTATTGGGCATCATCACTAAGAAGAATATATTAGCGCATCTGGAGGAGCTCAAGGAACACACGGAGCCCCTGGTGACTAGCCCTTCCCCTCCCATTCCACTGACCCCTCCCCCTCTCCCATTTCCACCTCTTAGGCCCCGCCTCCTAGGAGTGACGCATGAAACTGTAACTGACAGTTCCCGTTTCCAATAGCAACCCACTCATCTTACTGTGTCTTATTTTCAACTCACTCATGAATGCACTATTTTTTTGAGGGGGGGGGGGGGTGTATGCATCCACTTTCTCCTCTCCGGATACCTACTGTGTCACACTATCACTGATCTCCCTATTCATTCACTACTAGTCATTGACAACAGTTAGTAAGATTACTATTTTTTAAAGATCTACTCTAGATGAGTGTTATTATGGGTCCTGTAATGTTGGGCTTTGATGGGAACTGTCATTTGAAGCTTGATTAGTTAGATATCCGTAATTTACTATTGCTCCACAGCCATTCCCATCAACAACATCCTACTAGCTATTAGTCCCTTCATCAGTAGTATGGGCTGTTTCATCCACTATAAGAAGTCATTATAGAATATAGATATAAGCATGAATATACAGATTGTATATTGATCTCATTCCCCCTGCCACTGTCCCTATAACTTACGTACAGTCATGTAGCCATGCCTGTGTTTTTAGAGCGTGTGTGTGTGTGTGTGTGTGTGTCTGTCTGTCTGTCTCACTCGGCACCTAGAAAACCTTCACATACACATTATTACATCATTTCACTCTAAAAGCTCACACAGGGTGCATCCCAATTGGCACCCTATTCCCTATATAGTGTACTACTACTAGTTCAAAAGTAGTGCACTATAAAGGGAATAGGGTGCTATATTGGATGCTGGCACCGCTTTACTTCAATGACTTACTGCTTCTTTATGTATAAAAATCAACCCCTCCCTCTCCCTCTTGCCCCGCCCCCCACCCACTGGGTCACCGCCGTCCGTCCGTCTGTCGGACCAACAGATCGACGACATCTGACCCGATAACACGTAGCGCTTCCGGCGTCGCCTTTACCGAATTTGGCGAGTAACCGGCTGCTACGTGGGAGCGGACCGTTGGTTGATGTGTTTTTTCTGGGAGGGGGAGTTTTAGCATCTAGTGTCCCTCCCGCCCTGCCGTAGACTTAATAGAACCCTCCTCCTGTAGTGAGAGAGCAAACTCCCTCTATGGTGGTGTGGTGATATAATGATGGTAGTAGTAGTGTGTGTGTTGGTAGATAATGCCTACAGTAGCAGTAACGAGCTAAGCCAAGCAACCCCCACCCTGATCCTAAACCGTACCCACCCCTCCTTCACCCCCCTCTCACCTGACCTCAACCCCCCTGCCTCATCCGGTGCCTCCCACCTCAACCCACCCCCCCCCCATTCCTGGTCTGTGTGGCGTTTCATGCCTCCTGTTTCTGTAGCACTAACACCTCCCTCCACTTCCTACAGTACTGAATCTATAGATCTATCCTGTACTGTAGCTATGACAGACAGTCATACAGCCTGTCCTCCTCTCACTGCTCTCTCTCAGCTCAACTCTACACTCACCGTCTGTCTCACTCTCTCCAATGTCTCGAGATGTCTCACTAAATCTCCAACGTTTTCGTCATAGCTAAATTCAAGAGCACAAGTCATAACAAAAAGTAAATTCTAGGAACAAATGTTGTCCTGTTGACATCTAATTGTTATCCAGCTGCACACTCTTACAACGTTGTAATTGACACTTTCTGTGTTAGCAGAACTCATTACATTTCAACCAATTGTGACCTGGCTCTGGGAAGAAGGGAGTATCTGTAAAGAAGCCTGTAGCGATGACCCTCAAAGTATTTTAGATAAAGGTGCTCTTGAATTAGCCAGAATTCTTGACTGAGCGTTCCAGAATGTTTATCTCGGACAACGTGAAGGGTTGGTTGGTTGGTAAGGCAGAAGTGTTCTGCCTTGCTCTTCCTATAGTGTTCATCTCACCTGCTCTTCCTGTAGGTGTTCAGTACATCTCCTCCTCAGGCTTCCAACGAGAATCACTCACTCACCATTCTCCCCTGGTTACTCACCCCCTCCTCTCTTCCTTCTGTCCTTCCTCGGCACCAGTGGGACTTATGTTTTTGTTGGCCTGGCTGCATTGACGGTCACAGTCGGCTGAGTGGTTGAAGTATTACTGCGTTCCCTGTATCACCTTGGGCTAAAATACAGATACACTGTGGTAGTAACGGTGCATTACTTCTCTTGACTGTAGATTGTATCACTGTTTTGTCATTGTTATTTGTGAGATCTGATCATTAAGCCCCAGAATAATATAAACCATCTGATCATTACGCATCAGACCCCAAAATAATTAGTTTCCTCTGACATTAAACACATTTCCATAATTTAGTCAGTTGGTTAACAGAGCCCATTATTTTGGTTATTGGTGTGTTATCATTCTCTGTTGATTGATTCCACTATCTTGAATCCCGGCCAAAACCACCACCGACTGACCGACTGCACGAGCCAACAAAAACTTGTAATTCTCTCCCACACCAACCAGACTGTGCTCCCTGCCTGCTCCTCCGTGAATAATCTCTTCTCTCTCTCTCTCTAGAGGGAGACTGATAGACTAGATAAAGAGAAGAGGGAGGATCGAGGATTTCTCAGACTATCTATCTAATCTTCCTCTCTCTCTCTATCTCTCTCTATCTACTCTCTATCTCTCTCTCCTTCTTCTCTCTCTCTCTCTCTCTCTCTCTCTCTCTCTCTCTCTCTCTCTCTCTCTCTCTCCAGGCGTCTCCTTGGTATTATCACAAAAAAAGATATCCTTCGTCATATGGCCCAGATGACCAACCAAGACCCCGACAACATAATGTTCAACTAGTCACCTCCTTCCCAGGTCGTCACGACGAGGAGAGCGAGGAGGAGGTGGTGCACCTACTGGAGGGTCAAGGCTCCTTTCTATGACACACAGCCCCCGACCCCCAAACCTCCCACCCCATGGAACCCTGTCCTTAACCAGACTGACTGATCCCCACAGAACCCTCTAGTGGCCACAGGATGGAAGAGACAGACAGACAGACTAAAGAGACATGAAATGGCTGTTTTGAAGGATGTTCCGTCCCCATAGTCGTAGCTACTACGGACTGGGACATATATACCCAAGGAACACACACATACACACACCTCCACTCACATACACTCAGACACACACATACAGGAGCTCACACTCACTCATACAAACACAGATTCCACACAAGAGCAAGCTCACACACACACACACACACACACACACACACACACACTCTTCATGCTCCTCTACCCTTGTCCTCTTCCTATTGGTTTATGCTAGCGGACATTGCTGTGATCCTGATGCCTAGCTGCCAGGGTGAGGTCAGAATGATCCGCGAGGAGGGACCTTCAGACACCTCGACTGCTGATTGGCTGTCTGCCATGTCTGTCAGATGCCCTGCCAGGCTCTGCCCCCACTGTGTCCCTCCCTCACACCCCGTCCATCCTCGAAATAATTGTTTACCTGTGAACTGTGTGTGAGAGAGCAATAAAGAGTGCTTATGTGTGTGTCACGAGCACCCTCGACATTCCATTCAGGTTGTCATAATAACCCGAGACAGCACACTCTCCCACCCCCCTAAAGACAACCGCTGTCTAATATTAGACTGGGCCTCGACCCAAGGGAGATTGCTTTAATGTGTGTGTGAGGAGAGAGAGCTAGAGGGTAGTGAAGGGTACAAGCAGGATGTACTGTAGTAGTTAGTTAATGACTGACTGTATGGATGTGTGTTGTAGTTAAAGATCTATGTGAAAACAGATAGTCATCGGTTACATTCTCCCTGTTGAAGTAAAGAACTGTGTGAGTGTCCAATGAGGATAGAGACCTAGAGACCATCCCACAGTGAAGGTGGGCAGTTTGTATAAATAAATAAATGAAGGTCGAGTTATTCTGTTTACTCTTAACTGGAGATAACTTTTTTTTGTACTATTGCTACTACTTTTAGTATTGATATCTACATAATCAAGTAACTTTTTACGGCTTGTAACGAGACAAAGTCAAGACTGGAAAACTGCACTCTTTTCTTTCCAAGTGAACAAAATAAATGATGATTATGATGTCGATGGTAATACTGCACAGTAACCATGTCTTAAAGATTTTACTTTGCTTAATTAAGCTGTCTCATGGTGTGTGAAACATGTATCTTGTATTTTTGACAGGAGCTTAATCTTTTATTGCATAGCTCCTCTGCCCAGTCGTCAACAAGAACAATTCAACATCAAATCTTCTTCGCATGTCAGTTAAAACCAATATAAAACATTTTAAATCTACTCCCACCACTCCATGGTAGCGTCCCAAATGGCACCCTATTCCCTATATAGTGCACTACACTTGAACATGGCCCATAGGGCTCTGGTCATAAGTAGTGCACTATACACTGTGTACAACACATTAGGAACACCTTAATATTGAGTTGCACCCCCTTTTGCCTTTAGAACAACCTCAATTCGTCGGGGCATGTTCTCTACATGGTGTCGAAAGCGTTCCACAGGGATGCTGGCCCATGTTGACTCCAATGCTTTCCACAGTTGTGTCAAGTTGGCTGGATGTCCTTTGGGTGGTGGACCATTCTTGACACACACAGGAAACTCAAATCGGTGCGCCTGGCACCTACTACCATATGCCATTCAAAGGCACTTAAAGCTTTTGTCTTTCCCATTCACCCTCTCAAGGCTTAAACATCCTTCTTTAACCTGTCTCCTCCCCTTCAACTACACTGATTTGAAGTGGATTTAACAGGTGTCATCAATAAGGGATCATAGCTTTCATCTGGTCATTCTATATCATGGAAAGAGGTGTTTCTAATGTGTTTGTACCCTCAGTGTATAGGGAGCCATTTGTTACACAGACCATATTTAATTCTTAGAAGCATGATTTGAAGGTGCAACACTCAACGTGCCGCAGCACATTTTTGGAGTTCTGCCACCAACTCCTTTAAACTTCAATGAAGTAAATATGTATATTTGACAGTTGTTGAAACGTACAGTACACCAAAGGAAATAATTTTGAACCAGCCACGTGTAAACCTAGACTCATTAAAAATAAAATAGGATCTTATGTCGGATTCACCCTTTAACGTGTGGTCCATCACACAGGAAGCAGTGACCTCACAATGTGTGCGCCAGCCAAAGGAGTCCTCTTTCTCTCTTGCTTCGTTTCCATGACACGATGCATAACTTACCTGCTGAGTAAAGGCTATGGCTTGTATCCAGAATGCCACCCTTTTTCCTATATAGTGCACTACTTTTGACCAGGGCCCAAAGGACTCTGGTCAAAAGAAGTGCACTTCATAGGGAATAGGGTGCCATTTGGGACACAATCTAGTGTGTGATGGGCGGAAGGGCAGGTGGTGACTACCACTGCCAGTGTTTTTCGCTCTAGTTTCTTTCTATTGCAGTGTCCTAGGTCATATTCATTAGGGACCAAATGGAAGAAAAAACTGACTGAAACAGAGAGGGACTAGTTGGACCCATTTTACATTGCCAAACGTTTTAAAACGTTTTCCGTTGTGTGCCCTAATGGATACGAGCTGCTCTGTCGGTTGAAGAGCGCATCGTCCCCTGTGGTGTCGTCTAGCACTGTGGTTTTCTTCATAATGATCAATGTTTTTCCTTTATGGTAGTTGTTTAGATGTACATTAGGCATAATTGTATATTGTATGTATGATTACATTGATGGCTTAATTGTACATTTAAAACTAAATATGTAAAGATTAAACATTTTGTTTAATAAAAAATGTTAAAATTGCTATAAGAAAGTGACTGGGTTCTTAACTAATGTTTTAAACATTGAACAAGCATGATTCTGATAGTAGTGAGGTAAAAGGCTGAACATACCTCAGTTACTGTCAGGCTGGTATTCTGCTATACAACTAAAAACGTGTCAAAAGCTTTTCTCAGTGATTGTGATGAATTTGGTGGCACAGTACACCTAGGAACAAAGATCCAGATAATCTCTATGTTCCCAGCAGTACACTAAACTCCACCTATCTAAGCATGAGAACACAATCTTCTCACTGGTGTAGAGAGAGAGCGGTTGGGTTCTGTCCCCAACTAAGGAGGGCCTACAGCATCACCTAGATTTTCTGCACAGATTCTGTCAGACCTGGGCCCTGACAGTAAATCTCAGTAAGACAAAAATAATGGTGTTCCAAAAAAGGTCCAGTTTCCAGGACCACAAATACACATTCCATCTAGACACCGTTGCCCTAGAGCACACAAAAAACGATACATACCTCGGCCTAAACATCAGCGCCACAGGTAACTTCCACAGAGCTGTGAACGATCTGAGAGACAAGGCAAGAAGGGCCTTCTGTGCCATCAAAAGGAACATAAAATTTGACATACCAATTAGGATCTGGCTAAAAATACTTTTCAGTTATAGAACCCATTGCCCTTTATGGTTGTGAGGTCTGGGGCCGCTCACCAACCAATAATTCATAAAATGGGACAAACACCAAAATGAGAATTCTTCAAAAATATCCTCAGTGTACAACGTAAAACACCAAATAATGCATGCAGAGCCAAATTTGGCCGATAACCGCTAATTATCCAAATCCAGAAAAGAGCTGTTAAATTCTACAACCACCTGAAAGGAAGCGATTCCCAAACCTTCCATAACAAAGTCATCACATACAGAGAGATGAACCTGGAGAAGAGTCCCCTAAGTAAGCTGGTCCTGGGGCTCTGCTCATAAACACAAACAGACCCCACAGAGCCCCAGAACAGCAACACAATTAGACCCAACCAAATCATGAGAAAACAAAAAGATAATTACTTGACACATTGGAAAGAATTAACAAAAAAACAGAGCAAACTAGAATGCTATTTGGCCCTAAACAGAGAGTACACAGTAGCAGAATACCTGACCACTGTGGCTGAACCAAACTTAAGGAAAGCTTTGACTATGTACAGACTCAGTGTGCATAGCCTTACTATTGAGAAAGGCCGCCGTAGGCAGACCTGACTCTCAAGAGAAGACAGGCTATGTGCACATTGCCAAAAAAAATGAGGTGCAAACTGAGCTGCACTTCCTAACCTCCTGCCAAATGTACAACCATATTACAGACACATATTTCCCTCAGGTTACACAGACCCACAAAGAATTAAAAAACAAACCCAATTTTGATAAATTCCCATATCTATTGGGTGAAATACCACAGTGTGCCATCACAGCAGCAATATCTGTGACCTGTTGCCACAAGAAAAGGGCAACCAGTGAAGAACAAACACCATTGTAAATACAACCCATATTTATGTTGATTTATTTTCCCTTCTGTACTTTAACTATTTGCACATAATGACATTTGAAATGTCTATTCTTTTGGCACTTTTGTAAGTGTAATGTTTACTGTTAATTTTTGTTTATTTCACTTTTGTTTATTATCTACTTCACTTGCTTTGGCAATGTTAACATATGTTTCCCATGCCAATAAAGCCCTTCAATTGTATTGAAAACACTGGTGTGGAGAGAGAGAGGGAACACTGGTGTAGAGAGAGAGAGAACACTGGCGTAGAGAGAGAGAGGGAGCATTGGTGTAGAGGGAACACTGGTGTAGAGAGAGAGGAGAACACTGTGTGGGAAGAGGAACACTGGTGTATAGAGAGAGAAGGAGAACACTGGTGTAGAGAGGAGAACACTGGTGTAGAGAGAGAGGGAGAGGGAACTGGTGTAGAGAGAGGGAACACTGGTGTAGAGAGAGAGGGAACACTGGTGTATAGAGAGAGAGAGAACACTGGTGTAGAGAGAGAGAGAACACTGGTGTAGAGAGAGAGGGAACACTGGTGTAGAGAGAGAGGGAACACTGGTGTAGAGAGAGAGGGGAACACTGGTGTAGAGAGAGAGAGAACACTGGTGTAGAGAGAGAGGGAACACTGGTGTAGAGAGAGGAGGGAACACTGGTGTAGAGAGAGGGAACACTGGTGTGAGAGAGAGAGGGAACACTGGTGTAGAGAGAGAACACTGGTGTAGAGAGAGAGAGAGGGAACACTGGTGTAGAGAGAGGGAGAGAGGGAACACTGGTGTAGCAAGGGAGAACACTGGTGTAGCGAGAGAGAGAGGGAGAAGGAACCTGGTGTAGAGAGGAGAACACTGGTGTAGAGGAGAGAGAGGGAAACTGGTGTATGAGAGAGAGAGAGGGAACACTGGTGTAGAGAGAGAGAGAGGGAACACTGGTGTAGAGAGAGAGAGAGGGAACACTGGTGTAGAGAGAGAGAGAGGGAACATTGGTGTAGAGAGAGAGCGAGAGAGACGAGGAAACACTTGGTTAAAGAACAGAAAGAAGGGGGGGACTATGCCACCCAGACTTCCAACACAAACCACTCTTTGTGAAGGCCTCCTTTCCTGTGAGAGTCAGGAGAAGTGCAAAGACAAAGCCTAGAAGTCAGCATCTAATGCCAGTCAGTTTACACTGTCTGCTCGCTCTCACACACACACACACACACACCCAAGTCTCCTACTACAGTACAGGGATTGTTCACACTGTCAGTCACTGGCCTTGGACTGGTTTTCCATTCAAATTCTGATCTGCTCTACAAGCCTTTGTGCCTGTCCTTTTAACATCCACTGGGCTATTTCTATGCGTGTGTGTGTGTACACCGCCGTCGGTATGATTCACATTACGCATGCTTAGGTTAATGCTTTGCTTCCCCTGAACATTCTTTCCTTCCAAGACGAGTAGTGAGCTAAAACAAATGTGTTCTTGCTAGCTCGCGACCCATCTATAATGACCACCAAAACTATGGTTACAAAAACAAGATGGGTGCCTTTTGTTCTGCTGTACAGTGGGAGCCGGCGAGGCTGATTGGGGGAACAAATCAGGTGATGATTAGGTGTCCTTGGTCCTCAGAGAAAGAGCGAGAAGAGAGCGAGGGAGGGTGAGAGAGAAGAGAGGGAAGGAGGGAGAGAGAGAGAGAGGCCTTGGATGGCCCATAATGCTGTTACTGCACAATTAAAACCAAACTGGAGGAAACCATGGTAACACACAGATTTTATTTTCACTACAAAAAAAAGCATTGTTTAAAGCAGAGCAACATCGAACCCCCCCCCCCCACACTATTAAGCAGATATTTAAGTATTTTAGTCCCGTTAAAGACTAATCCGAATACGTCGCACTCATTTAACATGCATCAGACTGTCAATGGAGCACTGTAGCTTCTTTAATTAAAGCACGTACAGAGGAGGGGGAAGGGGGTTGGGGTTTGAGACCCATTTAAAACGAGATAAGAACTTAACATAGTAAAAATAGAAATGGGAGAAAAAAATATGGAAATATTGGAAACAACACAGAGCGTATAAAGGCGGCAAAATTGTAAAATGTCTAACATCTAGGAAGTCAAAACACCAGTGGGCATAATAATAATAATAATAATAATAATAATAATAAATGTATTTCTCAGAAACGTTTCAATGAACCACACTAGAAGGGCTATAGTGGTTATGCAATTGTTAATTACGTGTATCAAAGACCAGAAGGCCTGAAACAACTAGGTCTTCAATCATCCACTGAAATGTTATTCATGATCCAATAATTCAGTCGTTACAGAAGTTATACATCAGTCTATATAAATCACGTATATAGAGTTTAAATGACAAAATGTGACTATAGATCACACTTTCAAATCAGTATTCTTTTCTCAGAGTCCAGCATGCATGATACTGAAACTTCAGGTTGGTTGGTTGTAACAGTGGTAGGATAATGTGCAGTCTTTTGAAGCTGAAACAAAAGACGCCTTTGTGGTCTGCTTAGTAACAGTGATTGCACAACGTCAGCTTGAAGAGCTAATTTATGAATTTATCATAAAACAGAATAATACTGCAAAGAGAAAAGCATAATCGTCAACAAGTCGATCGTTTTTTTTTCTTCCTGAAATCGATTTAGGAAATGCTTGAATCGAATAACAAACAGCTCTTTCGTCTGCTCACTAATACAAATTAAATACTTACGCATATCGCTTATTGGTTATCCTCTCCAGCCACAATATATTCTACATGAAGATCCATAAGCATGAAGGATGATGATTATACTCAATGTCTTATCAAGTTGATTTATTGGAATCCAGAATAGATCCAGATGGACCTACATATGTAGGAGCTAGGTTCCAGTTTTAAGCTAGTTCCATTGAAAAGTGAAATCAAATGACATTTTCTTGACATATTCTATGTTTTTGAGGGTGGGGGAGGGAGGGTTGGGGGTGGGAAATGCATAGGACAGGATCGTTCATCCCATTGGTTCCCCCTGTTGTTGTTTACACATAGCTTTCGTAAATCACCTGACCAGGCTGTAGCTTAGTAGTAACCTCTGCCTCCGCCTCCACCCCCAACTCCGCCTCCTCCACTGGCTCCTGCTCCGGCTCGGAACCCTGCTCCTCTTGCTCCTCCTCCTCCTCTAGGTGCAGGGGAGCCAATGGCGGAGGAGATGAGGGCGTGGCCTCGGCTAGAGCCGGGGCCTCCATGGGCAGCGGGGGGTGGATGGACACCTGGATGGCGATGTGCTGAGGCTGCTCATGCAACGACGCATCGTCAGAATCCGCTGCAGGGGATCCGGAACGCTCCCTCTCACGCTCCCTATCTCTCTCCCGGAGGATGGTGAAGACGTCGCCGGGCCCCACCCCGACCAGGGCCCCCTGCACCAGGGCCGCCCGGCATCCCAATGCCCCGTCCAGGTGGTGCCCCTCTGGGGCCTGGCGGAGGAACGTGTGCCTCATCTCCTCAACCCCCACCACTTCCAAGATCTCCTCCATGAAGGTGCGGCAGTTCATGATGAGCGGGGGCAGCGGGATGCTGCGGGCCAGCTCCTCGATGTAGCGGGCAAACTCCATGGTCTTGAACTGGGTCACCTTGGCCAGCTCCAGGGTCTTGGCTGATGTGATGATGGGGATACGCTTGGCGATTTCAAACGCCTTCTGGAGCTTAAGAATAGAACAGATTGGAATGTCATTTATTGGACATTTAATTATCATTAATGGAATTTTTTTCGATTTTAAAAATCACCTATAGCTCATGTACTATCAAAACAGTACAACAGTTACACAAACAAAGTTACTACCTATGTACGGTCCTCACAAGTATAGTAAATCACGACACAAACCTTCTCGGCGCCCTCAGTGCGGAAGAAGTCATTGATGGCCTTCTCCGTCTTCTTCAGGTGGCTGCTCATCATGCAGAGGCGCGTGATGTTGAGGATCATGATGATGGTGAAGGTGACGAGGCACACGACCACGTAGTAGGCCCCCAGGTCCCCGCTGTGCAGGACCACGCGCATGGTCACCGTGCAGTTGGCGCTGCCGTGCACGTTGGACGCCATGCACGTGTACTTGCCGCGGTCGGCGAACGTGATCTCTGTGATGTTGAGGATGCCATCGTCTGTCAGCAACCACTTGTCACCTTCGGAGGAGAGAGAGACAGACAGAGAGAGTCATTTAGAAGAGTGTAGCTTTAAAAATCGGTCCCCACCATTTAAAACCAAACTTCACTGAAACCAACTGTATGTTTTTCACATTCATCTTATCATCCATCTTATTTTTCGAATAAGGTGCGCTAGATTAGGGTTGGAGTGAAAACCTACAGGATGGTAGCGCTCCGGGACCAGGGTTGGAGAGCCCTGATCCACATTAACAATGGTAAAGGACTTAACTAGAAAATCTCATGATACATTGCTACAGAAAGAAATATCATACCATAGAAACAGGATCTATTTTCCTTCAAGGAATGGGCTATATCCCTTCTAGGAATTCTATTTCTATGGATCAATCAAGGCACAGGAGGCTGCTGATGGGAGAACAGCTCATAATAATGGCCAGAACGGCGCAAATGGAATGGCATCAAACACCTGGAAACCATGTGTTTGATACCATTCCACTGATTCCGCTACAGTCATTAACACGAGGCCGTTCTCCCAATTAAGGTGCCTCCAACCTCTTGTGATTCAAGGTCAGTGTAATATGCATTTCCTGGTTGCAAAGACAGCAGCTAGGCCAGGCCAGGCTATGCTAGGCCAGGGGGAAGGTCTCTGCTAGTTTGTCAAGACAGTCACATGCAACAGCTTTTTATAGCTAGGCTTTCTGAGAAGGCCTTTCGGTTTGCACTGCTCGATTCATTCAATATCACTCATAATCTAGGCCTATATTAATTTATTGCAACAAACAACAATTCATTAATCCACTAAGTAGGTTGCATAATTTATATTATTGAGTGATAATATTATTCCAACTGAAGGACTGTCCTCGAGGCTGCAATCCAGCAACCAGGTATTTTAAAATATACTTTGGATTGGATTTGAATCCTGGACCCCCCCCTGAAGTGGACCAGTCTTCCTCTTTTATTAGTTACTGAGAAATCATCTTTGTTTCATTAGTCCACTGTTGATACAGTCCAAAAATATTTTGCATGTCAGCAATCAAGTTTTCAAGATATAGAACTTTCAAAATACAGAAAGTGTCACAGATGATGCATTTTGTTCCTTGTTTATTCAATTTATTCGTCCCAAATGGCACCCTATTCCCTATTTAGTGCACTACTTTTGATCAGGGCCCATAGGGGTCTGGTTAAAAGTAGTGCACTAAATAATAATACATGGGACTTCTATAGCGCTTTTCAAGGACCCAAAGTCGCTTTACAATGATAGAAATTAAAAAGAAAGAACAGGAGTCAAAACAAAACATCAGACTAAACAAAACATGAATAAAGAGATGGTTGGGCTCAAAGAAGGGAAAGAGTAGGCCTTGTCAAAGAGGTGGGGCTTTAGGAGGGACTGAAAGATAGTGATGAATGCCGAGTCACGGAGGGCTGGAGGGAGGGAGTTCTAGAGCCTAGGAGCAACCCTGGAGAAGGCCCTGTTGCCGAAGCTCTGGAGCTTGGACCTGGGGATGACAAGGTGAATAGAGGATAGGGTGACATTTGGGATGTTTAAATAGAGAGTGGGGCTGAGGGAGGCTGCAATCTGTCTGGAAAAATACCAAGTGGTGCTTGTTGGTGAACTGGGAGACAAACGCCTGGAGCAGAACACAAACAAATAAGCTCTCATGTAAATGTAGAACCAAGGAAGTAGCCAGCCAAACATTACAGCATGTTACAAACATCTGTTGACTGTCGAAATTGGTTCGTCTTCCTCTACTAGGATACTACTACTACTACTACTGCTACAACTAATCTTGGTATAATATCCAATTTATTAAGAAGCTCTTTTGTTATACCTATCAAGGCAAAATATACTGAACAAAATTATTAATGCCACATGCAACAATTTTACTGAGTTACAGTTCATATAAGGAAATCATGGCGCAGCCAATCAGAATATGTTTTTCCCCACAAATGGGCTTCATTAAAGAAATAAATACTCCTCAGCTTCATCAGCTGTCCGGGTGGCAGGTCTCAGACGATCCCGCAGGTGAAAAGCCAGATGTGGAGGTCCTGGGCTGGCATGGTTAAACGTGGTCTGCGGTTCTGAGGCTGGTTGAATGTACTGCCAAATTCTCTAAAACTACGTTGGAGGTGGCTTATGGTAGAGAAAGAAACATTCAATTCTCTGGCAGCAGCTCTGGTGGACATTCCTGCAGTCAGCATGCCAATTACACGCTCCCTCAAAACTTGAGACATCTGTGGCATTGTGTTGTGTGACAAAACTGCACATTTGTGTGGACTTTTATTGTCCCCAGCACAAGGTTCACCTGTATAATGATCATGCTGTTTAATCAGCTTCTTGATATGCCACACCTGTCAGGTGGATGGATTATCTTGGCAAAGGAGAAATGCTCACTAACATGGATGTAAACAAATTTGTGCACAAAACTTGAGAGAAATATGCTTTTTGTGTGTATGGGACATTTCTGGGGCCTTTTATTTCAGCCCATGAAACATGGGACCAACACTTTAAATGTTGTGTTTATATTTTTGTTCAGTATAAAATGTCCTCCAGGCTATATTTCACCATGGTCTACATTGACCACTATTCTCCTATCACTGCATGAAGTGGCATCATCTGCCATTGCCTTATAACATCAACGTACGTAGGCATGTGGTGAGACTGTGGATGGATGGATGACTTCACGTCTCTCGCTCTCCAGATTCTGACAGCTCATCCTGAGTGGGTGGGTGACTCAGAGAGAGAGACTATCGAAGAATGAGAGAGAGCATGAAACAGATTTTGGAGGCCGAGTAGTGTTCGTTTTAAGACAGAATGAAAAGACTAGTGCTCACACCTTCGTTTTCCACACGCACACACACTTTATCCATCAAGCCTCCAGCCTGTCTGTCATGTCTCTAGAAAAGCTGAATGCGTAAAGGAAATGTAGCGAGAGACTGCTAAATGTATACACCCCTACCCCCATGTGAAGTGTTTCAAGGCTTGCTTTGAAAGTGTGTCAGTGTGTGGAAAGCAAAAGCTCCCTAAAAAACAAGTGGCAAAAGCTAGAAAAGAAAAGAAAAGTCATGAGCAACAGGGAAGAAACAACTGTTATACATGTCATAACAGGTCTTTAACAGAGCCTTGTGGAACATGAAGTCTTCTACTGACTGGCTCACCGTCAACCATGAACAAAACCGCCCCAGCTATGATCACAACAAACATCAATCTAAACATTGAAAAATGTATTCATGTTGTTTGCATGCTACAGGTAACAGGCCCTAGTCGCAGTGGTTCAATGATGGTTGTTGCGCAAGAGCAAGTTCCAACAGGTCTGTTCAAAATGGAACCCACAATGTTGATTTAGCATTCCTGTTTTATAGCAGGTGACTCACACGGTTAAGAGCTTAGATTCTTCATTATTGTAGCCGACTATTTATCTGGAACATCTTTTCTATCTACAGTAGTATCGCTACATCTTTTCTGCAACTCCTTTTTCTTTCTCTTCCCCCCCCCCCCTCCCTCCCCAAATCTCCTCTCCCCCCTTCTCTTTCCAATCTGCCTCCACATATAGTAGATAGATTAGGACTGAATGAGAGAAAGTATCCTATTAGTATCCTGCTTGTTAGTATCCTACCTGTTAGTATCCTACCTGGTAGTATCCTACCTGGTAGTATCCTATTACCATCCTACCTGGTTAGTATCCTATTACCATCCTACCTGTTAGTATCCTATTACCATCCTACCTGTTAGTATCCTATTACCATCCTACCTGTTAGTATCCTATTACAATCCTACCTGTTAGTATCCTATTACCATCCTACCTGTTAGTATCCTATTACCATCCTACCTGTTAGTATCCTATTAGTAACCTACCTGTTAGTATCATATTACCATCCTACCTGTTAATATCCTATTACCATTCTACCTGTTAGTATCCTATTACCATCCTACCTGTTAGTATCCTATTACCATCCTACCTGTTAGTATCCTATTACCATCCTACCTGTTAGTATCCTATTACCAATCCTACCTGTTAGTATCCTATTACCATCCTACCTGTTAGTATCCTATTACCATCCTACCTGTTAGTATCCTATTACCATCCTACCTGTTAGTATCCTATTACCATCCTACCTGTTAGTATCCTATTACCATCCTACCTGTTAGTATCCTATTACCATCCTACCTGTTAGTATCCTATTAGTTTCCTACCTGTTAGTATCCTATTACCATCCTACCTGTTAGTATCCTATTACCATCCTACCTGTTAGTATCCTATTACCATCCTACCTGTTTGTATCCTATTACCATCCTACCTGTTTGTATCCTATTACCATCCTACATGTTAGTATCCTATTACTATCCTACCTGTTAGTATCCTATTACTATCCTACCTGTAGTATCCTATACCATCTACCTGTTAGTATCCTATTACCATCCTACTGTTTAGTATCCTATTACATCCTACCTGTTGTATCCTATTACCATCCTACCTGTTAGTATCCTATTACCATCCTACCTGTTAGTATCCTATTACCATCCTACCTGTTAGTATCCTATTACCATCCTACCTGTTAGTATCCTATTACCATCCTACCTGTTTGTATCCTATTACCATCCTACATGTTAGTATCCTATTACTATCCTACCTGTTAGTATCCTATTACTATCCTACCTGTTAGTATCCTATTACTATCCTACCTGTTAGTATCCTATTAGTTCTACCTCTGTTAGTATCCTATTACCATCCTACTGTTAGTATCCTATTACTACTATATCCTACCTGTTAGTATCCTATTACTATCCTACCTGTTAGTATCCTATTACTATCCTACCTGTTAGTATCCTATTACATCCTACCTGTTAGTATCCTATTACCATCCTACCTGTTATGCTATTCCTATTACCATCCTACCTGTTAGTATCCTATTACTATCCTACCCTGTTAGTATCCTATTAGTCTCCTACCTGTTAGTATCCTATTACCATCCTACTGTTATATCCTATACCATCCTACTGTTAGATTATCCTATTACCATTTCCTACCTGTTAGTATCCTATACTTATACCTACCTGTAGTATCCTATTACATCCTACCTGTTAGTATCCTATTACCATCCTACCATGTTAGTATCCTATTACCATCCTACCTGTTTAGTATCCTATTATATCCATATCCTACCTGTTAGTATCCTATTACTCATCCTACCTGTTAGTATCCTATTACCATCCTACCTGTTAGTATCCTATTAGTATCCTACCTGTTAGTATCCTATTATCTCCTACCTGTTAGTATCCTATTAACGTCATCCATACCTGTTAGTATCCTATTACATCCTACCTGTTAGTATCCTATTACTCCTACCTGTTAGTATCCTATACCTCCTACCTGTTAGTATCCTATTACATCCTACCTGTTAGTATCCTATTACATCCTACCTGTTAGTTCCATTAGTATCCTCCTTTATTATCTACCTGTATCTTTCCTACCTGTTAGTATCCTATTACCATCCTACCTGTTAGTATCCTATTAGTCTCCTACCTGTTAGTATCCTATTAGTCTCCTACCTGTTAGTATCCTATTAGTCTCCTACCTGTTAGTATCCTATTAGTCTCCTACCTGTTAGTATCCTATTACTATCCTACCTGTTAGTATCCTATTAGTCTCCTACCTGTTAGTATCCTATTACCATCCTACCTGTTAGTATCCTATTACTCCTACCTGTTAGTATCCTATTAGTTCCTATCCTATCCTGTTATTATCATATTACCTATCCTACCTGTTAGTCTATACCATCTACCTGTTAGTTTCCTACTTTAGTCATCCTACCTGTTAGTATCTTACCTGTATCTTATTAGTATTACCTGTTAGTATCCTATCTGTTAGTATCCTACTGTATCCTACTAGTATCCTACCTGTTAGTATCCTGTTGTATCCTACCTGTTTGTATCCTATCCAATGCCATTCATATTTAATAACAACCTCCTTGTCTTATGACCTAGATTCAGCTGGACACTATTAAATATCTACAAACAGTTAGGTTGTGGGCGTGACCACCAATCTGCCTCCATATAGGCTACAGTAGATTGTTCTCTCTTTCAGTTGTAATCTATGACAATAGTATCCTATTCAATGGCAGCAATAATATGTCATTTATCAAGTATCTGAAGTTAAGTAGTGGCCGTGACTTTTTAACTCTTAATGTTTTGGAAAAAGAGCCGACAGGCCAGCTTGTTTGGTTTGTTGTCATCATATCATCATCATCATCATGGCTTTGGTGTATGATTATGTTCATTTTTTAATCTGCTGGGTTGGCATTGCATAATCGCAGCAAATAATCCCCCTTTTTTATATAGTCATCATACATCACTGTCATCTTAGTCTGTCATAATGCAACTACTCAATGTGACCTTCATTTGAAATCCCCCCCCCCCCTCTCTCTCTCTCTCTCTCTCTGTTCTCCCTCACTCTACCTCCTCCTCAGTCTGTCCATCTCTCCATTGTTCACAGCACACAAATATATTTGACTGTAGTCTACAAATGCTGCTGTTTGGCCACACAAAAACTTAAATACAGAGGGATTTAGTCAGTGATTTACGGGGATTGAGGCTATTTTAACTATAAATCATAATTCTAGCTCTTTTTTTCATGACAGTGACAGTTTGTGTTAATGCCTGTCATCCTCTGCAACAGCCTGTCTGCATTTTCACACAATTTATTTCATAATGCCTTATTATTGAAAGAGAACTTGAATGGTATTGCCTTAACCCTGACACTGGCAGTTCAAGTTGGTGTTGAGAGCTGCTGATTCGTTGGCTAAAGCCACATCGGGGATATTATTGACAACTGTACATTCAATTAACTTGACTTACTTGTCTCCGTGTCTAGCAGGTTTCCATGCGAGTTGAACCACTGTATATTCGGGACAGGCTCTCCAGTGACGTTGCAATCAATCAGAGCGCAGTTGCCCTCGCGGGCGATGATCTGGCTTACTTTCGAGTACACCAGGGGGACAAATCCACCATCTGCCACCGTGCCGTTTTCTGTGCTGTTTCCATCTGAAACCGCCGATAGAACCCCGGCGGTGTAGAGGCTGATAATGGACAGTAGGAAGAGGCTAAAAGCGTAGCCACTTGACCGATTCATTTTCCCCCTTCTTCCTGACCGTCGCTTTCACCCGAGGATAGTTTGTCATGCCACTCGCGTCTTTATGTTCAAAACATACTGGCTATCTCCTGATAGCGGTAATGAAAGGCAATTTGATATTCTGCTCCGAATCTTGAAGCATTCCACTGGAAGAGGGAAAAAAAAGGCACAAAGAAAAGCACTCATCAACATTCTGTGGTCCCCTGTAGCTCAATTGGTAGAGCATGGCGCTTGTAACGCCAGGGTAGTGGGTTCGACCCCCGGGACCACCCATACGTAAAAATGTATGCACACATGACTAAATCGCTTTGGATAAAAGCGTCTGCTAAATGGCATATTATTATTATTTGTTTAGACAGTGATGACTTCTCTACTGAACCAAAAGATAAGGACAGGGGCCTGTCCGAAACGCTATCTCGATTAATAACGTTTTCCAACATCTGATTGCATACTTACACGATAACGCTATCTCGATTAATAACGTTTTCCAACATCTGATTGCATACTTACACGATGTTTGTCATTTTTTGGTTGATAATTGACCCCCCCCCGACCCAATACAGTCTTTGACTCGGACAACAACAAAGAAACACTATCAAATACAAAAACCGTTTTTTACTGTAAAGCCAACAGTGAATGCAACGTTGTTACAGCAACATAATCTGTTACATGTCATTGTTACAACATAGAGCTGCAATGTAACAGACATGGTATAATTATAATAATATTGACGCCTACATAATAAATTCCGTCTATTTTTATTAGTTAACGTTAGGCCTAACTTATTGTCTAAAATCAGTTGCTTGATAACAATAAATGATGTTAGCTAGCTAGTAGTATAAATCAATATATGTATTTGACTGACAATTTGAATGCAAAAAAGTAGCTAACCTAGCTAGCTAGCTAATTTCGGCTATTTGCACTAGCAAGCTAATATCTGGTTGGATGCAAAATAGCGGAGGCTTGCTAGCAAACTAACGTTAACGTCGCTAGCCAGCCTGGAAAGGACACAACGGTTTGGCTAACTAACTAGCTAGCTTCTTTGATTTAGCTAACTTAGCTATAACTTAGAAGGAGTTATATAAACGGCCAAGTAGCTCACATAATATAGGTCGTTAGTTAAATGTCATGTTTAATGCAGTAACGTTAGCTAGCTAACCAACAGAAAAATAAATAACGGTTACTGTAGCTAGTTACGTTACGTACAGGGAATGATGGCTAACGTTAGTAACTAGCCATCATCATAGCTAGCTAGCGTGCTAGCGATAACGCTATCTCGATTAATAACGTTTTCCAACATCTGATTGCATACTTACACGATAATCGTCCACTGTTATTTTGCTTAGCTAGCTACTACAGATGTTTTATCGTTATGCGGTCAAGAAGGAGATCGCCGTCTATCTTTCGGATGCTGCTGCGTTCCGCTATTTATTCGACATCCTCATCTCTCTTGCTCAGCTGGCAGCTTGACACAACATTCGTTCGCTCTTCGCTGTAGCGTTCCGCCTCCCTACCCTAGTCAAATTACAAGAACCTACCCTAGTCAAATTACAAGCACCTACCCTAGTCAAATTACAAGCACCTACCCTAGTCAAATTACAAGCACCTACCCTAATCAAATTACAAGCAAGCAGCAAGAAAACTAGGTCGGTCATTGGCCATGCACCAACTTTATTTGATCTGGGTCCACATCCGCAAAAAACGATGGCTGCATTAAATATAAGAGTACAGCACAGTAACCTGTTGGCTACATGAATGGCAATCATGAGTGTGTCAACAATGGAATTAAATGTAGCTACAAAAGTATGCTATTTAATTTTTTCCCAAAAATATTAGCAATTAATGAAAAGAACATCATCACTTCTTCTTCCAAGAACTAAAACACATAGCAACTAAAACATGTCGTTTTTTCATGAATGAATGAAGTGCATTCATGCACTAAACTGTAGGCTACATTTAGGGCTTTCTGCTTTGTGTCTGCCCTTTTTCTTTATATGAAGTCTAGTACATTAGCATACAGTTCTCTAGACAGTAAACAGAGGCCAGTGTCTCACTCTCTCTGAGGTCCAGGCAATTTGCCATCATCAACCACTGCATTGTTCGATCTGATGGACATAACTACAGTACTGAAGACTTATGAAGCGGCCAAATGCAAGGACACTTAATGTTGTGGTTCTATTGAATCCTCAGACTTCCTTTGTATATACAAATGACTGATGAGATGATTTGTATTCAGAACACGACTAATTTGAATAGGCAAAATAACTAAGATACAAACAAATTAAATCAATGCTATCAGTAGCTTACTGTATGCATTGTAGGCACACTCTCTCCACACACTTTCCATACACTCTCTCCACACTCTCTCCACACACTTTCCACACACTCTCTCCACACACTCTCTCCACACACTTCCACACTCTCCACACACACTCTCTCCACACACTCTCCCACACACTCTCCACACACACTCTCTCCACACACTCTCCACACACACTCTCTCCACACTCTCTCCACACACTCTCCACACACACTCTCTCCACACACTCTCCACACACACTCTCTCCACACACTCTCCACACACACTCTCTTCACACACTCTCTTCACACACTCTATCCACACACTCACACACTGTTGTGGTCAAAAGAGAGTGTATAAAGTTCAGGTAAAAATATCAACCTGTTTGGCTCAACCCAAGTAGGTCATATCTGCCTTCCGGAGTGGATTATTGACCGACCTTCTCGGTGCTTTAAAAGCATTAATTGATCTCTGAAATGGACACATGCTTTTAAAAGACTCAATTCATTGATAAATTAATCCATAACACTAGCTATCTCGCATTAGCAAGTGTTCATATTGTGGAAAGAGTGTTATTTCCCAATAAATATACACAACAGCAGAGTTTCAAGGAACTGCAAGTTCAATTCTAAGCAGGAGTGAGACATAGGGGTTGCTTTCTGATGAAACCCAAACACGTGTCTGGCTGCCTAGGTGCCTCTCACATTACAAAAACAGTTAAAAACGATGAATATTTTTGTGTTCAGAAATGCTTGGCTCAAGTAATGCTGATTGTAAAGTTGTTAATAGAGTTACACAGTGCTAGCTACAAAACTAGACCGATGACTGCAAAATGGTGATTACATTTACAGTCATCTCCAAGGCAAAATGCATATCTTGTCTGAGGTAAGTTAGTATTTCTGTGATTCAAGTGTGAATGAGTGTACAGTATTTGAAATATATATATATATATATATACAGTTGAAGTCGGAAGTTTACATACACTTAGGTTGGAGTCATTAAAACTCGTTTTCCAACCACTCCACAGATTTCTTGTTAACAAACTATAGTTTTGGCAAGTCGGTTCGGACATCTACTTTGTACATGACACAAGTAATTTTTCCAACAATTGTTTACAGACAGATTCTTTCACTTATAATTCACTGTATCACAATTCCAGTGGGTCAGAAGTTTACATCCACTAAGTTGACTGTGCCTTTAAACAGCTTGGAAAATTCCAGAAAATAATGTCATGGCTATAGGAGCTTCTGATAGGCTAATTGACATATTTTGAGCAAATTGGAGGTGTACCTGTGGATGTATTTCAAGGCCTACCTTCAAACTCAGTGCCTCTTTGCTTGACATCATGGGAAATCAAAAGAAATCACCCAAGATCTCAGGAAAAAAATTTGTAGACCTCCACAAGTCTGGTTCATCCTAGGGAGCACTTTCCAAACGCCTGAAGGTACCACGTTCATCTGTACAAACAATAGTACGCAAGTATAAACACCATGGAACCACGCAGCCATCATACCGCTCAGGAAGGAGACCCGTTCTGTCTCTTAGAGATTAACGTACTTTGGTGCGAAAAGTGCAGATCAATCCCAGAATAACAGCAAAGGACCTTGTGAAGATGCTGGAGGAAACAGGTACAAAAGTATCTATATCCACAGTCAAACGAGTCCTATATCGACATAACCTGAAAGGCCGCTCAGCAAGGAAGAAGCCACTGCTCCAAAACCGCCATAAAAAAGCAGGACTATGGTTTGCAACTGCACATGGGGACAAAGAATGTACTTTTTGGAGAAATGTCCTCTGGTCTGATGAAACAAAATTGGAAATGTTTGGCCATAATGACTATCGTTATGTTTGGAGGAAAAAGGGGGTGCCTTGCAAGCCAAAGAACACCATCCCAACCGTGAAGCAAGGGGGTGGCAGCATCATGCTGTGGGGGTGCTTTGCTGCAGGAGGGACTGGTGCACTTCACAAAATAGATGGCATCATGAGGAAGGAAAATTATGTGGATATATTGAAGCAACATCTCAAGACATCAGTCAGGAAGTTAAAGCTTGGTCGCAAATGGGTCTTCCAAATTGATAATGACAAAGATGTGATCAGTCTATAATTTTAATGGTAGGTTTATTTGAACAGTGAGAGACAGAATAACAACAAAAACATCCAGAAAAATGCATGTCAAAAATGTTATAAATGGATTTGCATTTTAATGAGGGAAAGTATTTGACCCCTCTGCAAAACATGACTTAGTACTTGGTGGCAAAACCCTTGTTGGTAATCACAGAGGTTATTGTTATTCTGTCTGTCACTGTTCAAATAAACCTACCATAAAAATTATAGACTGATCATGTCTTTGTCAGTGGGCAAACGTACAAAATCAGCAGGGGATCAAATACTTTTTTCCCTCACTGTAGAGGGAGCGATAGAGATAGGAGACTGAGAACCAGGCCAGGGTGTAGTAGTCAAAGGTAGAAGTCACCACAATCTCAACACCAATAACCAAATCTCGTGCGCACGCTGGCCAACTACATTTTAATGTTTCAGCAGTCATGAGAGACTTCTCACCAGCCCCCACTGAGCAATAATGTAAGGTACTACGAACCATTGAGAACTTGACCATGGAAAAGGAATATACAGTATAGCTATGTTATGACTGCATTTTTTGGTATTTTCTTCTCCCACATTGTAAACAAATGGAATGAACTATTTTTATATTCCATATTGTCTATAACATTCCATACTTCTATATCATCTACATTTACTCAGGAAAAACTGAAGTGATGATCAAACTGACCGATGTAATTCCATCTATTCTAGAGCACTAGACAGTGTGCTTGTCTTTTAATCACACATCCTCATTTATCTATTCCCTAACTTCCTCCTGCGGGGGAGAGAATAACCCACAGATGTCACGATAACATGACGTTCGTCTACAAAGAGAAAGCAGTGAGTGAGTGTGACTGTTTCTTTCACCCAGCTCATGAAATGTGAATTAATATTTTATTAACCTCTGTGATGACACTGATTAAACTACCAACACTTTCTTTCTACTCTCATCTACATGGAAACTCAGGATGCGTCCCTATTGGCACCCTATTCCCTACATAGTGTACTAATTTTGACCACCCTGGTCAAAAGTAGTGCACTATATAGGGAGTAGGGTGCCATTTGGGATATAACAACAGACAATTATGCCACTAATCTATACTGAGAATGTTACAGTACATTCACAGAAAAAACTATTGTAAATATCTCTCTCGATGATTGCATTTGTCGCATTTAAACCCAGGCCAACTGTCTCTTCTGGGGGGGGTTTCAGAATAGCCTTTTGGTAAAAACATGTCCTATTATGGCAGAACCGCTCAAATAAGCAAGAAACGACTCCATCATTACTTTAAGACATGAGGTCTAATAAAATTTCAAAAACTTCTGACGTTTTCTTTGTAAGTGAAGTGCAAAACCATATATGCCGCATGCTGAAACTGGCTCTCTAGACCACCAGGAAGGAAGCCCGATTGCTCTGCTGCAGAGGATAAGTCAGTAGAGTACCAGCCTCAGAAATGCAGCCCAATAATGCTTTCAGAGTTCAAGTACAGACATCTCAATATCAATTCAAGGACTGTGTGATGGTCTCATGGTCGAATTGCTGCAAAGAAACCACTACTAAGGACACCAATAAGAAGAAGAGACCTGCTTGGACCAAGAAACATGAGCAATGGACATTAGACCGGTGGAAATGTGTCCTTTGGTCTGGAGTCCAAATTTGAGATTTTTGGTTCCAACCACCGTGTCTTTGTGAGACGCGGTGTGGGTGAGCGGATGATCTCTGCATGTGTATTTCCCACCGTAAAGCATGGAGGAGGAGGTGTTATGGTGTGGGGGTGCTTTGCTGGTGACAATATCTGTGATTTATTTAGAATTCAAGGCACACTTAACCAGCATGGCTACCACAGCATTCTGCAGCGATACGCCATCCCATCTGGTTTGGGCTTAGTGGGACTATCATTTGTTTTTCAACAGGACAATGACCCAACACACCTCCAGGCTGTGAAAGGGCTATTTTACCAAGAAGGAGAGTGATGGAGTGCTGCATCAGATGACCTGGCCTCCACAATCCCCTGACTTCAACCCAATTGAGATGGTTTGGATTGAGTTGGACCGCAGAGTGAAGGAAAAGCAGCCAACAAGTGCTCAGCATATGTGGGAACTCCTTCAAGACTGGTTGAGAGAATGCCAAGAGTGTGCAAAGCTGTCATCAAGGCAAAGGGTGGTTATTTGAAGAATCTCAAATATAAAATATATTTTGATTTGTTTAACACTTTTTTGTTCACTACATGATTCCATATGTGTTATGTCATTGTTTTGATATCTTCACTATTATTCTACAATGTAAAAAATAGTAAAAATAAAGAAAAACCCTTGAATGAGTAGGTGTGTCCAAACTTTTGACTGGTAGTGTATGTAGTTACTTGTTTATTACTACATGTATTTTAAAGGGGATGGTGTGGTAGTTTACTACTAGGCCTACTTTTAAAGGGGAAGGTGGGGTAATTTATTACAACATGTATTTTAAAGGGGATGGTGTGATAGTTTACTACTAGGCCTATTTTTAAAGGGGAAGGTGGGGTAATTTATTACAACATGTATTTTAAAGGGGATGGTGGGGTAGTTTACTACTAGGCCTACTTTTAAAGGGGAAGGTGGGGTTAGAAGTAGAGGTTCATTCACCTGTGTGAAGGTGCTGGTGTGCATCGTAGAAGCCTGGATGTGTAGTACCACTCTGTCCACCAGCAGCTTGGGCCCAGTCACAAAGCCTATTCTCAGCCTGCAAAGACAGACACACACGCACACCACAAACACACACATGCACGCGCGCACGCACACACACACACACACATCACCCCCCCCCCCCCCCCCCCCCCCCCCCCCAAGAGTCCCTGTGGTCCATATTGACATACTGAAGGGAATAATCTCTGCATATGCATCCTGTGTGTGTTTGTGTGTCTGTGTGTCTGTGTGTGTGTGTAAGTGTGTGTGTGTAATTAAATTGGCCACATGAACTGGTAAATCAAGGAGCCACTAACCCACTAAGTACACACATTCTGACTCAATCTCTCGGTAAACATGTTCAGACGGGTAAATAGATATCCACATTGCCTACGTGTCTCATTGAACACTGGACTCAGAGGGAGAGAGACTACTACAAAATTACACTGATATAACTAGTAATAGTGTAATAACTGAAACTAAACAGGTCTCTTTTTTAAAATTATATTTGTAAAGTCTTTGTATGTTTATTGGATAGAGAGAGCTAGAGGTGAAAGGTAGGAGAGAGAGCGCTGAAAGAGCAGTGGGCCGGATTCGAATCCATGCCGGCAGTGGTACAACGGACCTGTGCTCCAGAGGCAGCAGCTTAGACCTCTAGACCACCCCAGACTTCTGAACAGGTCTCTCTTGCCAAATATATGATTATCTCAATGAGATTAACCTGCATTAATAAAGGTTAAATTAAAACAGTTTACATCCTACTTCCTCCCTGACCTCTAACCCCACATGGTTGCCTTGGCGATCTGACAGTGTGCCTCACGACACGATCTTTGAGAAGGAGTCTGTCCTGATGATCTGCCTGTCAACGTCCATGGAGAGAAACCTGGGAGCCCAGGGAGAGAGAGAGAGAGAGAGAGAGAGAGAGAGAAGAGAGGGAGAGAGACGAGTCGATATATAGCATAAGCCTAGATCGAAGATCGATAGAGAGACTAATCTCTCTATGCGCTCTCGATCTCAGATATAGCGGCGTTATCTCCGATATCTATCTCTCCTCTCCTCTTCCTTCTCTCGCCTCCTCGCGTCTCTTAGTATCTCGCTCACTGACCGCTTGCCTTCCTGACCGACAGCGGACGGACGGACTACGACGTACGACGCGATGACGACGGACGAGGACGGACGACGGACGGACGGACGGACGACGGACGGACGACGGAACGACGGACGGACGGACGGACGGACGGACGGACGACGGACGGACGGACGGACGGACGACGGACGGACGGACAGGACGGACGGACGGACTGACGACGGACGGACGGACGACGGAGACGACGGACGACGACGGCGGACTGACGACGACGACGGACGACGGACGGACACGGACGGACACATGAGCAGCCTGTTTATGATATACAGTAGGGGGGATGCCAGTGCTGTGTCCCAATAAACCACACAAAGTCATAATACATGAAACAATGACACCATTTTTACCTTTTCAAACTGTAGGAAGTAATAGGGGTCATCCTCGTTAATAAGGAGGTCATACTGTCTCGCAAGCTGTCAAAATGAGAACAAAAGCTGATTAGTTCTGGTGAAGTAGACCTTTAGGGAAATCAATTTTCCACTGAGGCCAGAATAGAACAAGCACAATCATTTTAGAAAATAACCCTTTCCTTCGCTCCCATATGCATGAGTCATTGTTTTAGGGTCAGTAGTTTTTACTGGCCCTGTGACCTGACCAGGACCGTGTAAAACTCCAGGCCCTAGTCATAGGCTAGTCAACGTGAATCAGACCGTTAGGGAAATCATTAATGAGAACTAGAACAATGGATTCAGATTGTTTCCCTCTCTTTCCTTCGCTAATGCATGGCCCTGTTTAATTACTTTATAAATCCTTCCTTCCTTGTTTCCTTGAGGTAAGCACTGATCTATAAGTGATGAAATAGGTGAAAGCAAGGTTACCAACCTCTTGCTTTCACCAATTCAACCAATTCAAATCTGTGATTACTTCAAGGAAGAACAGTAGAAAGGAAGGATGCATTTTCAAGTCTTTGAACAGGGCCTATACTCTCAGAACAAAAGTGATATGTGGCACCATTTGTCCCTGTAGGGGAACCCTCTGAAAAAAGGCTCCAGATTGAATCATTTAAGATGAAATACAACTCTTTCTGGTTACAAATAGCACCCTTTAATAGGTTATATTTGAAACCCAGGTTCTATTTAGAACACAAAAGGGTTCTATCTAACCTGAAAAAGGTTCTATCTGGAGCCTATTTTCAGGGGGTTCTCCTACAGGGACACATGGTATTACATAGCACTCTTTTTTTCTGAGAGTGTATGGGAGTGGACTGACCTCGTAGATCTCCCTCTTCCTCTGGGTGGTCATGGAGGCCCTGGTGGGGTTTCCTCCGTTGGGGATGGTGTAGAGGACCCTGGGTGCGGGGCTGTGTGGCTTGTGGACGTCTGCCGGATCCCAGCGGGACAGCACCTCCTTCAGGCCCCCCGGGATCATACCGTGCTGGTCACTGGGCACGTTGATGAGGTTACACCCCAGCGGCTGGAGCTAGGGATGGGGGAGTGAGTGAGTGAGTGAGTGAGTGAGAAAAGGGCTTCTTACTGCAGCGAGAGTTCCAGAGTAGGTAGGGTGCGTGGAGTAGAACGTTGTCTCCAGGATTGACAAGCATTTCAAACACCTACCAAAAAAATTAGAAAAAATTATTACTCAAAACATTCCCTTCAACATAGAGAAAAGTATACTGAACAAAAATATAAACGCAGCATGTAAAGTGTTGGTCCCATGTTTCATGAGCTGAAATAAAAGATCCCAGAAATGTCCCAAATGTTGTGGCCAAAATTTGTTTACATCCCTGTTAGTGAGCATTTCTCATTTGCCAAGATAATCCATCCACCTGACAGGTGTGACATATCAAGAAGCTGATTAAACAGCATGATCATTACACAGGTGCACCTTGTGCTGGGGACAATAAAAGGCCACTCTAAAATGTGCTGTTTTGTCACACAACACAATGCCACAGATGTCTCAAGTTTTGAGGGAGCGTGCAATTGGCATACTGACTGGAGGAATGTCCACCAGAGCTGTTGTCAGATAACTGAATGTTAATTTCACTACCATAAGCCGCTTCGAACATCGTTTTAGAGAATTTGGCAGTACGTCCAACCGGCCTCACAACCACAGATCACGTGTAACCACGCCAGCCCAGGACCTCCAGATCCGGCTTCTACACCTGCGATCATCTGAGACCATCCACCCGGACAGCTGATGAAACGTTTGTGGGGAAAAGATAATTCTGATTGGCTGGGCCTGGCTCCCTAGTGGGTGGACCTATGCATAGAATCCATAGATTAGGGCCTAATGAATTTATTTCAATTGACTGATTTCCTTATATGAACTGTAACTGAGTAAAATCGTTGAAATTGTTGCATATAGAAGAGGAGAGGGTGAGAATAGAACAAGATCATGAGATCACAGGATCATTACTGATAGTCATACCTTGCAGAAGCCCTCCTGTAACACACATATCCATTTGACCCTTCTCTGCACTGTAGTTGGCTGTAGGAAGGTTGTGAAGGTTCTTCTGCAGGTTATTCATCCAAGTCAACAGATTTGGGATTCTACACAGGGGAGAAAGAGGATTTAAGTAACGGTCCAGTGTTTCTCCAGATTTCTATGAAATATGACCAATAATTAATTGCAATATGAGTGAAATTGTTTTCCTTCCAAAATATTGTAATTACGTTTGTTAAAAAGCAGCTGTTCTGTGTTGGAATGGTGTGGGCGTACCCCAACAACATAATGATGTGTGCATCTGTCATGAAAAATATTAGGAGAATGACATCATCCTATATGAGGAAATAGCAAGCATTTTTTAAACAGTCTGAAGTGTTTTTTTCTCCAATTTATGCTTTGGCCACAAATATGAGTCAACAACATTACTTGGGTATGAGTTAACAGAATTTACACAACAGTGGGTCTAATCCTAAATGCTGATTGGTTAAAACCGCATTCCAGCCGGTGTCTATTCCACAAATTACCACCAGCTAAATCTATGACGTTAAAATGCCTATTTACACTGTTCCATCTGACTGTGCAATCCACTGTATCATCAAAACAGTCAGGCACTTTATAAACTTGATCGGTCCTCGACTTCGTCTCGGGCCTAACAACACCCATGCCAATATATCCAACAAACACTGGCTTCTCTGACATTATCACTAAAATGAACTTTTCAAAGTCAGATTTTCACTAGACAGTTACTTTAAACTTTGCATTCATAGGGGCGAATCCTAAATTCAGTTGAATTTCAATTTATGTAAATGAGAGGCTAAGTGAAAGACTTGAAATTGGAGGTTGGGATTCGCCCCATACAGAACAACCTACAGTTACAAAACATCACCAAATTATCTTATTTCTTTTTTTTAACAAGAAATAGGCCTAATCATTAATAATAACATTTGAATAGCAGCCAAGGTATGTATTAATAACATATTCAATATTTGATGTGTGTATTCGATACTGTGGTGCATAATAGGGTGCCATTTGAGATACAGCCTTGGCTTTATTGTCCCGTTATCTCTTATCAGTTGTCACACGCACACACACACACACACTGGTTGAGAGAGCTATAGACCAATACGAGCCACTATTTACATAGACAGTTGTAAAGCTAGATAATGAGCCATTAGAGAGATAACCTTCCTTCTAACACTGCCATTGACTAGTATAGGTGTCATGTTGTCCTAACCTTTTCAATGTTGAACAGCACTGTAACAGGTCAAAAGTTTAAACAGGCCATAATGAAACTATTAGTTTCCGCATTATTTTACATTGTAAACTTAGCCAATTCCTGACCATATGAATTGTGTGTTAGAGCTAGCCATGTACTGTACATTACTCTGTTTGTGTCAAGGAGAGATTTTGGTGGCTATGTTCTTGTTGACTCTCCTATATTGTAGCAATTCGAGGGTAGCCCTGACCACATGCTTCAAGATGGCCACCATTGTTCCTGTACCCAAGAAAGCAAAGGTAACTGAACTAAATGTCTATCGCCCCGTAGCACTCACCTCTATCATCATGAAGTGCTTTGAGAGACTAGTCAGAGATCATATCACCTCCACCTTACCTGTCACCCTAGAACCACTTCAATTTGCTTACCGCCCCAATAGATCCACAGACGATGCAATCGCCATCACACTGCACACTGCCCTATCCCATCTGGACAAGAGCAATACCTATGTAAGAATGCTGTTAATTGACTATAGCTCAGCATTCAACACCATCGTACCCTCCAAGCTCATCATTAAGTTCGAGGCGCTGGGTCTGAACCCCGCCTGTGCAACTGGGTCCTGGACTTCCTAACAGGCCGCCCCCAGGTGGTGAAGGTAGGAAACAACATCTCCACTTTGCTGATCCTCAACACTGGGGCCCCACAAGGGTGCGTGCTCAGCCCCTTGCTGTACTACCTGTTCACCCATGACTGCGTGGCCAAGCACGCCTCCAACTCAATCATCAAGTTTGTAGACGACACAACAGTAGTAGGCTTGATTACCAACAATGACGAGACAGCCTACAGGGAGGAGGTGAGGGCTCTGGGAGTGTGGTGCCAGGAAAATAACCTCTCACTCAACGTCAACAAAACAAAGGAGATGATCGTGGACTTCAGGAAACAGCAGAGGGTGCACCCCCGTATCCACATCGACGGGACCGCAGTGGAGAAGGTGGAAAGCTTCAAGTTCCTTGGCGTACACATCACTGACAAACTGAAATGGTCCACCAACGCAGACAGTGTGGTGAAGAAGGTGCAACAGGCTGAAGAAATTTGGCTTGGCACCTGAAACCCTCACAAACTTTTACAGATGCACAATTGAGAGCATCCTGTCGGGCTGTATCACCACCTGGTACGGCAACTGCACCGCCCGCAACCGCAGGGCTCTCCAGAGGGTGGTGCGGTCTGCCGAACGCATTACCGGGGGAAAATTATCTGCCCTCCAGGACACCTACAGCACCCGATGTCACAGGAAAGCCAAAAAGATAATCAAGGACATCAACCACCCGAGCCACTGCCTGCTCACCCCTGCTATAATCCAGAAGGCGAGGTCAGTACAGTTGCATCAAAGCTGGGACCGAGAGAATGAAAAACAGCTTCTATCTCAAGGCCATCAGACTGTTAAATAGCCATCACTAGCACATTAGCGGCTGCTGCTGCCTATTAAAATCACTGGCCACTTTAAGAAATGGAACACTAGTCACTTTAATAATGTTTACATATCTTGCATTACTCATCTCATATGTATATACTGTATCCTATAATATTCTACTGTATCTTAGTCCATGCCGCTCTGTCATTGCTTGTCCATATATGTATTCTTAAATTCCATTCCTTACTTAGATTTGTGTGTATTGGGTATATGTTGTTAAATGGTTAGATATTACTTGTTACATATTACTGCACTGTCGGAGCTAGAAGCACAAGCATTTCGCTACACCCGCAATTACATCTGCTAAACATGTGTATGTGACAAATAAAATGTGATTTGATTTGATTTAACTGTCAATCCAACGCCTTAGCCGTTACGCCAAGAGATCCGAACCTGTTCACGAGGTCACTAGGTGTTGGGTTAAGGTCGTTACAATATCATGTTCTGAAGAAGCTTCCAGGGACTTTTAGAAGACTAGCCCTTTGGTGGGCTAAAATACATCCTAATAAACAATATCCTGGTCAAAAGTAGTGCACCATATAGGGAATCGGGTGTCATTTCGGACGCACCCAATGTTTCCTCAGTCACTGACTCACCCGCTGGAGGCCAAGTACTGCAGAGCCCTCTTCATCATGGTCTCGTTGAAGATAAGCGTGTCCCCATTCTTCACCTGGATGGAGCAGGACTGGAAGGGGAAGGTGTTGGGGTTGGGAGCCCCTCCGGCCAGGGAGATCATGGAGAGGGGAGCCCTCTGCTGGAGCTCAGCTTAGGGGTGGAAGAGGGAAAGACAGGTTGGTTTCTCAAGTTTCATATGATGAAATTGTATGGTAGATTACACTGAACCAAATGATTTTACCCCAACACTTTAGGAACTTAATAAAATGTAATGAATTTAACTATGGATCAAACCTGAAAACTGACAAAGAACCATGACTTACTCAACATTCGGATGATGGGAGGGCTTCCGAGCTGCACTTACAGCTGTCAAAAACTGAGCGTAGTTCATGGCTCCTGTAAAATCACCACACATGTAGGTTTCTAACAATCAGCACTGACAGAGCAAGCTTGCCTGTGGTGTGTCAACACTCCTGAGGAATACATATATACAATGCGACAGTGTATGATTGTAAACAGCAACACATGACATCATGCTGCATGATGACACATGTACAGACAGGGTATTCACATGTTGCCTACTAATGTTGATTGTTGGGTCAAGTTACAACAAGACATGTAAATACTGTTCACCCATCCATTCCATGTGAATCATCTTCATAAAAACTGATGAGATGCATTATACTATGTTTAGTTTGAGTGTGATATCCTTGGCACTTTGACAAAGTACCTTCTATGTTATTGGCAAGACTTGTACAGTAGAAGGTAGCGAACTAAACTCCTAAGTAGTAAGGCTATTATGTTGTCCTGCTCCTGCATACAGCAGCACTGGAGTGGATTATCTTGCAATAAAGGCAGAGCGAGTAGAGAGCAATAGTAATGGAGTCTTTTTATAGGCACTAACTCCGCCATGGTTTGTTGGACAAAGCCTGTGGTAAACACAGGCTTAGGAGAGTTCATATGTTCTATATCGTGGAGCTCCGCCCCATAGGGGAGCTCTGCTCCTATTGGTTTACCCACTGCCCTAAGGCAGCAACAGCCTGAGACAAAATTATGCACACACCTGCAGCCAATAGGAGTACCTGTGTCCCTATAAGAGGGGACGCTTCCCCTCAATCAGCCTCCCTTTATCTTCAGCGATAGACTGAAGAAGCTAAGAAGAGACGAAGAGAAGACTCAGGACGAGATTACGCCGTCGATTTTCCAGTTCATCGACATCGTCCTAAAATGAGCACACCAGGAAATGTTCCACCCCAAAAAACTCTTTTCAGAGCTCAATGCAGCTGTTCCTCCATGGTGGCTGCGGACTCCCATGACCTTTGTTTCGTGTGTTTGGGTGCGCAGCACGCCAAGGATGGAATCAGCGATCCCCCTATTTGCGCCAGCTGCGCCCTCCTTCCTTTGAAGGAGAGGAAGCAGTGCTGGGTGTTTTTCAGGAGGATATCCCCTTGGAGGATGTGCTCTCAGTGTTAGCCTCAGCCTCTGAGGCATCATCTGAGGGCGCTGACTCTGAGGATGACAGGGAGGATGGGGAAGAGATGGATATTCCGATGGAACAATCCGTCCCTCTGACCCAGACCAAGACCCCCTTTCCAGTGGAGAGTGAGAGGTCTTGTAACTCCCTGGACGATGACGACACGGGCTCTGAGAGATCAGTAGCCCTGTCCTTCGCAGCGGCCTCTCTGCGCTCAGACTTTCCTGGGCTCATTAAGAGGGCTGCCAGACGACTAGAGATAGCGTTGCCCCCCATTCCCCCCAGTGTGGAGGTGGATATGATGGAGGACGGACCCTATTCTCGGCCGAGAAGGGCGGCAGAGCCATTGGCTCCAGCCATGCCCTCTCTCAGCAAATATGTTAAGGGCTCATGGGAGGCACCTTTAGCGGCGCGTTCGCCAGCTAAAGCGTACCTCCCATTCACTAGAGTGGAAGGAAGAGAGATGGTTGCCAAGGGAATCCCCAGGCTCGAGAGCGCCATGGAGGCGTATCTAGTGCCGGGTTCGAGTCCCTGGCCCTCCTCCAAAAAAGCCACTTTGCCGCCACAAAAGGACAGACTCACAGCGCAGCTGGCAGAGAAGCCCTTCACGTTGGGAGCCCAAGCTGTAGCAGCAGCTAACAATATTGCCCTCCTCGCGGCCTCTCTGTCCCGTTTAACAATGGGTAGGACTGAGCTCACAAGTGAGGAGGTGGAAGAGGCGTCCAGAATTTCTGGCGCTATTCTTCACCTAACTCAGGCGTCGGCCGTATGTGCGGGGAGGTCCATGGCCACTTCGGTGGTCACGGAGTGACACCTCTGACTGTCTTTAACGGCCATGAAAGAGGCCGACAGAGCGTCACTGCTCAACGCCCCCCTCTCTGACGACAGTCTCTTCGGAGTCACCGTCAAAGAGGCGACGGAGCGTTTTGCCAAGATTGTCGAGGAGAAGATGCAGCTGGCAAGACACCTGCCACTGGCAGGGAAGTCTAGCCACGCATCACAGAAGCCGTCTACCTCCAACGCCCCCAGTAGATCAGGATCTACAGCGAGGCGGCGCGCCAGGCGTCAGACGTCAGCCGCGAGCAGCAAGCGAGTGGGCCCCGCCCCCCCAGCGGCACCCGTGGCTACGACGATTCCACCGGCGAGGGAGGTGATTACGGCGTCGACGTGGCAGCACCCTAAGGAGGCTCACAAGAGACGGCGCCAATGACGGGACGAGGGGGAGAGAATGGGAGCTGGCTCGGCACGTAGTACGACCGAGCCCACTATTCCCCCCCACCGTTCTGTTGAGGGTATGGAGGAGACTGTATGTTTTGATGTGTGCAATAAAGAGTTGGCTCCTATTGACATTGTCACAAGAGAGCCCTTTTTCCATAACACGTCTGAGAACATTCAGAACACTTCACGCCCTATGTCTCTCCCCCACTACTCTGAGTGTAGCTCAGCCCACCTAGGGTGCATAGCTGAGCACACACAAGAAGCGAGTGTGATAAAGGTAGCAAGGCGCAGCCTTAGCTTACCTCATAAAGATCTCACACCACAGACTCCTAGGAGTGCTGTTGTGAAGGTCTCTCATAGCAGAATGCAGTCACGACCAGGTAATGGATTGATGACGCAATCGCTATGCGGGGATGGCGCTCTGCCCCGGGATGGCGCTCTGCCCCAGGCTACCGCCTCGGTCAGTGCAGTTCAGACCCGTGCTGCGTTCACGGAGGGCCGGAATACTACGGTTACGGGTGTAACCAATGCATTGGCGCCCCCGCTTCTCTCAGAACGCGCCTATGTTTCTCTCCCTTTCATGGGAGGCCCGCCTTGGGCTGTTCCACCACCTCAGTGCTGGGGAACAGCGGCGGCGAGGGCCATCGAGGAATACAGGTCCTTCCTACTGAATGTACCACAGCTTCGCGCTCTTCCGCTTTCTCTGCATTGCTGGGAGTGGCGGCGAAGCTGTACCCTCTCACGCTGGCTAGACCAGACGCTGCAGAAGGGTTATGCCATCCAATTCCATCGGACCCCTCCCCCATTTAGGGGGGTGGTGGAGACCGGTGATGCTTTTACGCGGCCCAAAAAAGGTTAAAACGTGGACGCTCTGGTTTCACGAGAAACGTCTTACGGAAAAATGTTCCAAAGGAACTTTGAGGCATAGACCTAAGAGCGTACTTTCTGTGCGAGCAAGCGATCACAAAGAATGTTTATGATTCGCCTTTTAGGGTGCCCAGTAACGAATGCATTCGGGTACGCCCTGGCACCTTGACGGTTTCATATTGGAGCGCATTAGAACCGTTCGTCTCGGAATGAGAGCTAGCGTTACCTGACACCACTGTTCCCTCCCCGTCAGCAGGAACTAGGTGTTCACTCACACCGACACAGACAGTGATTAATCTCACGCGTCTGGTGTTCGCTGTGAATTGGAAAAAGAGCGCGCCCTGGCCCAGTCATCAGATTGTCTACCTGGGGATACAGCTAGACACTGTAATGATGAGGGCTCGAATTTCGGACCCTCGAAGGGTAGCACTGTTGCTAGCCCTGAGAAGGTTTCGTCCGAATCACACGGTAACGGCGCTGTCAGTCATGTCACTCTTGGGTCTCATGTCGTCAGCCCATTTCGTGGTCCCGCTGGGACTCCTGCGCATGCGCAGGATGCAGCGATGGTTCGCCCAACTAAGACTAGACCCAATGCGTCAACGTCATCGGTTGGTGGTGGTTCCTCTCTCGCTCAGGGCAGATCTGAACTATTGGAGAGACCCACGCGTTCTCACGCACGGAGTCCCGATAGGCAAAGTGTCCTCTTACATCCCAGTGTTTACAGATGCCTCTCTGACTGGATGGGGAGGGACATGTCAGACCCAAGCGATAGGAAGGGTTTGTGGCCTCTTTCGAGTCGCCACATCAACCTCTTGGAGTTGGAAACGGTTCGACTGGTTCTGACCCACTTCGCGTCTACCCTTCGGGGTTGCGATGTGTTGGTCTGTTCAGACAACCGGACCACAGTAGCCTACATAAATCGCCAGGGAGGAGTCAGGTCTCCTGCACTCCACCGGTCGGTGGAGGAATTGTGGCTGTGGGCTCACGAGCACCTTCGCTCGTTGAGAGCAGCACACATTCCGGGCTATTTGAACGTGGGGGCAGACCTCATGTCTCGAGGGGGTCCTCGTGACGACGAGTGGCGTCTGCACCCGGACATTGTTCTCCAAATTTGGGAACAGTTCGGGAGAGCCGAGGTGGACTTATTCGCGTCACGCGTGAACGCGCATTGTCCCCTATGGTTCTCTCTGAGGGAACAGGACGAACCGCCACTGGGAAGGGACGCGTTTGCGCACCAACCGTGGCTGAGAGTTCTTCTGTATGCATTCCCACCGCTGTCCTGCATTCTCCCACTGTTAGCCAGGGTGAGATCAGGCGGGCTGTCAATAATATTGGTGGCCCCCGATCGCCCAGGGGCTACATGGTTCGCGGAGATGAGTCAGATTTTGATTGCGCCACCTTGGCCAATTCCACATCGACGGGACACGTTGTCTCAGGCGGGAGGCTCGACATGGCGATTGCCCATAATCGGCCAACCACTGAAGGCTTGGCTCCTGAGAGGGACAGGCTAGAGCACCGTGGGTTATCTGATTCAGTAATCAGGACCATACAGGGTTCACGTGCCGGTTCCACTTCCAGGGTGTATGCCAGT